CCGGGAGGCGGAGCTTGCAGTGAGCCGAGATGGTGCCACTGCACTCCAGCCTGGGCGAGAGTGAAGACTCCGCCTCAAAAAAAAAAAAAAAAAAACCCCAGAGTAAGACCTGATGTAAGCTTTTGTGGTTTTAATAAAGAGGAATTGCCTGCTTTTATTAGTTAAATGTAGAAGTGAGTATACAGGGAAGAAGTAAGTCTAACTGTGTACACCGTTCTCAACCACAGCCTTGCCGTTTTTCAATCTAAGGACATCCAGCCTCCCTGGGCCATCCTACACGAAGCAGGATCCACTATTATACCATAGCCAGTGGCCCAGAAGATAAGCATAGGGTGATACTTTGGCTTCCCCTTGAACTGTACAGTGAGGGGCAGGAGTAGGGTGGGGAAAGTCCAGAAGGAAAAGAGAAAAAGAGAGGAGTGCGATCCAAACAGTTAAGTACTACCACAAATTATCTCTCATATAATGAGTTTACTCAGAACCATTCCTAACTCATGTAAACCAGTAATCAAGGTGTGAGAGGGCAAGGTACATGAAGTTGTTATGGTAGTGAAGGACAGGGTAGATTGTGAAATACAAAAATTTTTTTTTTTTTTACTTTTTTTTTTTTATTATACTTTAAGTTCTATATACAATGTGCAGGTTTGTTACATATGTATATATACATGTGCCATGTTGATGTGCTGCACCCATTAACTCGTCATTTACATTAGGTATATCTCCTAATGCTATCCCTCCCCCCTACCTCCTCCCCACAATAGGACCCGGTGTGTGATGCTCCCCTTCCTGTGTCCAAGTGATCTCATTGTTCAATTCCCACCTATGTGTGAGAACATACGGTATTTGGTTTTCTGTTCTTGTGATAGTTTGCTGAGAATGATGGTTTCCAGCTGCATCCATGTCCCTACAAAGGACACAAACTCATCCTTTTTTATGGCTGCATAGTATTCCATGGTGTATATATATGTGCCACATTTTCTTAATCCAGTCTGTCACTGATGGACATTTGGGTTGATTCCAAGTCTTTGCTATTGTGAATAGTGCCACAATAAACATACGTGTGCATGTGTCTTTATAGCAGCGTGACTTATCCTTTGGGTATATCCCCAGTAATGGGATGGCTGGGTCAAATGGTATTTCTAGTTCTAGATCCTTGAGGAATGGCCACACTGTTTTCCACAATGGTTGAACTAGTTTACAGTCCACCAACAGTGTAAAAGTGTTCCTATTTCTCCACATCCTCTCCAGCACCTGTTGTTTCCTGATTTTTTAATGATTGCCATTCTAACTGGTGTGAGATGGTATCTCATTGTGGTTTTGACTTGCATTTCTCTGATGACCATTGATGATGAGCATTTTTTCACGTGTCTGTTGGCTGTATGAATGTCTTCTTTTGAGAAGTGTCTGTTCGTATCCTTTGCCCACTTTTTGATGGGGTTGTTTTTTTCTTGTAAATTTGATTGAGTTCTTTATAGGTTCTGGATATTAGCCCTTTGTCAGATGAGTAGATGGCAAAAATTTTCTCCCATTCTGTAGGTTGCCTGTTCACTCTGATGGTATTTCTTTTGCTGTGCAGAAGCTCTTTAGTTTAATTAGATCCCATTTGTCAATTTTGGCTTTTGTTGCCGTTGTTTTTGGTGTTTTAGACGTGAAGTCCTTGCCTATGCCTATGTCCTGAATGGTATTACCTAGGTTTTCTTCTAGGGTTTTTATGGTTTTAGGTCTAACATTTAAGTCTCTAATCCATCTTGAATTAGTTTTCATATAAGGAATAAGGAAAGGATCCAGTTTCAGCTTTCTACTTATGGCTAGCCAATTTTCCCAGCACCATTTATTAAATAGGGAATCCTTTCCCCATTTCTTGTTTTTCTGAGGTTTCTCAAAGATCAGATAGCTGTAGATGTGTGGTATTATTTCTGAGGGCTCTGTTCTGTTCCATTGGTCTGTATCTCTGTTTTGGTACCAGTACCATGCTGTTTTCGTTACTGTAGCCTTGTAGTGTAGTTTGAAGTCAGGTAGCATGATGCATCCAGCTTTGTTCTTTTGGCTTAGGATTGTGTGAAATACAAACTTTAAGAAAATCTCTGGTGTTACTGCCGTGTATATTTTAAGAAACATCTCTACTATCTGATTTCTATAAAGCATTCTCTGACACACAGACACACCCTTACCCATCTTCTCACATCACCAATTTCCTAGTATCCAGCTCTACTCAAATATGGTAAGCCTCCTGTCTTATATCCTTATTTGTATGCTTCCCTGCCCTACTGAGGCATGTTCCTTGAAGGCGTAGACTGACTTTTATATCTACAGTGCTACATGTAAGAAGCACTCTAAGAAGAGTAGACCTTGAATCTGTTAATAGTACCCTTCCTATTCACTGTGGAAGAATCAGAATACTTGCCCTGCATTAAAAAAATCAACCTGTAGTTCACAACAGCTGGTAGTCAGAGGGCTAGGCCCTAGGCTCAACAGTCAGACTTAATGTATGGCACTGATTTTTATTAGTTTGACCGATTTAGACATTTCACAGGCATTAGCAAATATGTGATTACGGTATTCATTACATTTTAGCCGCAGGATTTCATTATAGCAGTTTTTTCTCTAAAGGACTGCTATGGTTAATGATCTGTCAACATTTCCATTATAACCATCATTGTTAAAGAATAATTTTGCTGTTTCAGCTATTTCCATTTGAAAGTTGACAGTTTCTAAGCACAGAATTAGTTTTTGAAAATGTATTAGGCTGAATGTTAAATGGAATTGGCCTTTACTTTTCCCATTTTTGTATTTTGGAACACTGAGCATCTTTCCACACTCTGCTTCAGCCACCGTGAATCATAATCACATTTGCTCTTGCTTGAAAGTGAATAGAGCTTCAGTCATCCTTCCTGTTCCTAAGTTCCAAAGTATTGTATATTCCTGTCTCCTGTGTTCAGTCACGTCCTACTTTCTACTGAACCTTGTATAGAAAAATGTGTATCAGTAAAGCCCTTTAGATCTGAAGCTTGGTAATTGATATAGAAATAATTTTTTTTTTCTTTCCGAGATGGAGTCTTGCTCTGTCACCCAGGCTGGTGTGCAGTGGCACCATCTCAGCTCACTGCAACCTCTGCCTCCCAGGTTCAAGTGATTCTCCTGTCTCAGCCTCCTAAGTAGCTGGGATCACAGGCATGTACCACCATGCCAGGCTAATTTTGTTTTTTTTGTTGTTTTGTTTTGGTTTTTTTGAGATAAAATTTCGCTTTTGTTGCCCAGGCTGGAGTGCAATTGCGCGATCTCGGCTCACTGCAGCCTCCGCCTCCCAGGTTCAAGTGATTCTCCTGTCTCACCCTCCCTAGTAGCTGGGATTATAGGCATGAGCCACCGCACCCAGCCATAAATTAGTTTTTAAAGTAATAAAACTAATGTTCCTCTTACCCCACACTGCATATATCCTTTCAAACGGAAATTATGATCATCTTTATGCAGAATATCATGAGTCTACATACTCCCAGACTGTACTAGGAATTTTAATTTGTAGTTTACCAACCTCAGTTTTTGCTTGTTTTTTTTTTTCTTTCTTTTTTTTAAGGTACAAATTAACACTATCCCTGAACTCTGAATTTATCATCAAAGACTGAAAAATTATACACGGTCAAGTTTAAGATTTTTGTTGCTTGGCTACCTTGAACCTGAGAAATAATCAAGGATGTTCCAAGTTTTACCTTTTGCTGTTTTCCTCCAATTATTTGTTTAAGAACTAATATAACAACAAAACCATTGTTGTCTTCATTAATGTCTTCCTAAAACATTAATGCCTACAAGTTTAAAAAGAAAGTTTGAAAACACTTTCCATCAGTTGTTTTTTTTTTTTATAAATTTTGAGTGCCTAGTGTCTAGCATCATGATGTCACTTCAACAGAGTAACTGCATAATAAATGTTTATTTTTTAATGTCTGCTAGGGTGGTGTTTGGCACTGTTAGTACAAAGATAAATTAGTCCAGACTCTACCTTTGATGAGCTCATAACCTATTGGTTTCTGTGAACTTAATTTCAGTGATCTATTCATTATATTTATGTATATTTATATATCTATTTAATATATTTATGATTAAATATATTGAATTTGACTTGTGTCAGTTTATAGAAGGTAAAAGTGTATTTTGTAATAGTTCTCAGGATACATAATATGACAGGTTGCTCTTTTTATAGAATTATGCATATTCCTGTCATGCCTATTCTCTATTGTTCAACTTGATAATTTTTCATTTACGGATTATCATGGTAGGTCTTCTGGGAACTGGCTTCCAACTGTTTGGCTATGAGGAAAAACTGCAGTCCAATCCTCTACAGCATCTCTTTGAAGTAAGTTGGCAAGAAAACATTTCAAAATTTTTTCAGAGTACTGTGTAGCTTAGTAACATATTTTTAATCCCAGAGGTTTATTTTTATTTATTTTGAGACAGGGTCTTGCTCTGTTGCCCAGGCTAGAGTGCAGTGGTGCAATCTCAGCTCACTGCAACCTCTGCCTCCTGGGTTCAAGCGATTCTCATGCCTCAGCCTCCCAAGTTGCTGGGACTACAGGCGTGTGCCACCATACCCAGCTAATTTTTGTATTTTTAGTAGAGATGGGGTTTCTCCATGTTGGCCAGGCAGGTCTCAAACTCCTGACTCAGGTAATCCACCCACCTTGGCCTCCCAAAGTGCTGGGATTACAGGCGTGAGTCACCATGCCCAGCCTCCAGAGGTTTAAAAAATATGTTATTTAAAACAGGGAACCAAAACATAATTGAAAATGTTGCTTTTGGCTGGGCATAATGACTCACACCTGCATCCCAGCACTTTGGGAGGCCAAGGCAGGAGGATTGCTTGACACCAGGAGTTCAAAACCAGTTTGGGCAACATAATGAGACCCAGCCTTTACAAAGTAATGAAATATTAGCCAGGCACAGTGGCCTGTTCCTGTAGTCCTAGTTACTTGGGAGACTGACTGAGGCAGGGGGATTGCTTGACCTCAGGAATTTAAGGCTACAGTGGTCATGACACTGCACTCCAGCCTGGACAACAGAGCAAGACCCTGTCTCAGAAAGAAAGAAAATGTTGCACTTATTTTTACTAGGTTATTTTTATTTCTTAATCTAAGATTTTTTAAATGCTCTTTTAGTTGATTTGGGACAGTATTTCTTCAGGTATAGAATCTTTTTAGAATAAACATGTAAGATAATGATTCAACACAGAAATTTCTCAATTTTCTGCCAGTTAATATGTACTGCAGCTATTTTCATGGTAATAACTGTATATCAATTAGACTTGAAAAATGAATATTTTTGTTCTTTTTCTGGTGTGGGGAATGGCATGTCTATTTCTCTCTGAAATCGTGTGTGCTTTTCCCGTTTACATCTTTCACCTTGTTTTCCTGGCTTTTGTCCAATGTGAATTTCTGTCTACTCTATTTCATTTAGTCCCTTGGATACTTTGCTTCTTTATCTTCAGTTCTTCCTGAAGTTTATTAATAAAGTCCTTCCTGTCCAAACAATCTCCAGGGATGTGTTTCCTTTTCGTTGTCCTTGTTGTTATCTCTGCCATTTCTGGGCCTCGCAGTGGAAACACAGATACGAAGTCAGCCATGTTGGCGACAGATCAGGGGATCAAACTAAAGATGTTCTGCTTGTGTGTGAGGAAGAGCACTTGCAAAAATAATGCTTTACTTCTCCAGCTTAAACCACACAGAGTGCTTCATCATTTTCCTTTCTGTTACGTGATTTTTCCCCTGCAGCTGACTTTGCAGTTAAATTGAACAAAACATACTCCAGTTTTTTGTTTTTTGATTTTTGTTTTTTTTTTTGAGGAGCCTCACACTGTTGCCCAGGCTGGAGTGCAGTGCCGCAATCTTGGCTCACTGAACCTTCACCTCCTGGGTTGAAGCAGTTCTTCTGTGTCAGCCTCACGAGTAGCTGGGATTACAGGTGCCCACCACCAGGCCCAGCTAAATTTTTTTGTGTTTTTTAGTAGAGATGATGTTTCACTGTGTTGGCCAGGCTGGTCTTGAACCCCTGATCTCGTGATCTGCCCGCCTCGGCCTCCCAAAGTGCTGGGATTACAGGTGTGAGCCACCACACCCGGCCCATATTCCAGTTCTTAAAGACCTTTAAAGGTTTGCCATTTTCCCCTGAGTCCATGCCAATACTGCACTTTAAATGACTGCATTTTGATTTATAACCAAAAGATTTCTCCTCTCTTTCCCATTAAGAATTTTATTGATAGGCAGGAATTTAAAAATTAATAATTCTTCATGGTTGTCTATAAATAAAGCATGTTCCCTTAGTGCCTGGAGTTTTTACTGTATTTATTTATTTATTTTTACACTTGAATAATTTTACCTCAAGCTTAACCTTTCATGAGATCCAGGCCCAAAGATGTTATATGTAAAAATGTTTATTTAAAAATAGAATGCTTGTTCCCCAGTGCCACAAAGAAATAGCACTTGAGCATAAATTTAATTCTCTCAGCAAGGCCATTTTTACTCTGCAGAAAGGGTACACTCGCCAGCAGTTTTGCCACGAGAGTACACTGAACAAAGGAGACAGGGTCATTTATAACTTGATACGTCCACCCTACTGCTGTATCCAGTTTCCATTGGCTGGAATGAGACCTCACATTCTGTATTTGTCCCGATTGGCTAGCAACTTAGAACTTTTCAAGAGGCAAAGGCAGGGGAGAACAAAGGAAGGAGGAAGTTACTTGTGGAATGCTGAGAAAGGTAAAAACACCTCCAAATAAGGAAGAGGAATGGGCTATCACCTAATGCTTGCTTGGACCATTGTAAGCATGCCAGGGTAGATATTTAGACTAAACTGTGGGAGCTAAGAACACAAAGTATATTGATTTCATTATTACGGCTAGCAGATATTTAAGAATGTTAGCACAGGTGTTTGAATACATTTTACTTCCACGAGAAGTCACTATTTGTCCTTAATTAGACAGGGAAGAAAGTGTCTTTGAAGAGGAACCTGTACTTCACTTTTTACACAGGGATACCCCATGATGCAGAAAATACACATACCTGCTTAGAGACCTTGTGTCATTGATTTATAGTGCAGCATGACATGTGAGAGTTACTCTTTTTATCTTTCTTCTGCCCCACCTCAAAAGATTTTATTTAATCTTGCAAATAGTAAACCTTTGTCTTCTATGACATTTTATTTTTATCATTTATTTATTTATTTAAGACAGGATCTTACTCTGTTGCCCAGCCTGGAATATAGTGGCACAGTCACGGCTCACTGCAGCCTTGACCTCCCAGGCTCAGGTGGTTCTCCCACCTCAGCAACCCAAGTAGCTGGGACTACAGGCATACACCAGCACACCCGACTGATTTTTTGATTTTTGATTATTTGTAGAGACAGGGTCTCCCTATGTTGCCCAGGCTGGTCTCGAACTCCCGGGCTCAAGCAATCCTCTACCTCAAACTCCCAAAGTGCTGGGATTATGGGTGTGAGCCACCACATCCAGCCTATTTCATTTTTTAAATAGCAATAGGGTCTTGCCATGTTGTCCAGGCAAGTCTCAAACTCCTGGCTTCAAGTGATCCTCCCACCTCAACCTCCCAAAGTATTGCGATTACAGACATGAGCCACTGTGCCTGGCCCTACATAGGTATAGGTTTTGTGGAGTTTTTTCGCCATTTTGTGGAGGCGAAGTCTCAATATGTTGCCGAGGCTGTGCAATATTTTAAATATTTCAGGAAAATCTGTTTTCAAACTCCACAGAAACCTAAGAGTATGTTCCTTTCTATGCAGTTTAATATAATTTCCTGCCTTTAGAGACTCAAAAATAGTGGAAGATCAACATCTGTGTCAGAGGTTATTTACTGATGGGTACATTTATGGAAGGCATAAGGGCAACAAGGTACTCCTGTGAATAACTAAAAAGTCGAATAATAATTGTATTGCTTTCATTAGTGTTCTTTTGCCTAATAGATTCACCAGGAAACGGCATTTAAAGACAAGAGAAGGCAAGTCAGATACACCCACTTTGCTATTTGTAACAGACGACAAGACCATTAGAGTACTCACTGGCTCTTTTCCTTCTCCTTTTGCAGGACAGAAAACATGCAAAGCCTAAAATGGCAGCCTACAGGTTATTATATATTTATGCGAATTTTGTAGACTCAGTTTGCATTTTAAAATTACATTTGTCACTTTGGATTACTTTCAAAAACAACTGTTAGCATAAATGAGGAATTTTTTTTAGCTTTAAGCAAATGTTAATAAATGATGATGTTATTCTGTTTCTAAAAGAAAATAGCGTAGGTGGTAATACAGAGGCTCTGCCACATGATTATTTCTGGTCACCAGAATAGGTGACCAGAAAGTCAGAAATACTGATTCTAAGCTTGGAAAGTGCTTGGTGTATTGGTAAATAATGTTGGTTGATATTCGAAGGAAAACTTTAAGACGATCTGCATTTATTCTTTCTTATTTGTGAAAATCTGTTTTCTCAAAGCTTTGGTCGAACACTTGTTTTTTTCCTTATCGAGTTGTAGTTAGTAGTGAGTTCTCTGAGAGGAAGGACCATGTCTTCGTTATCTTCCTTATCCACAACCCTGAATACTATGGCTTGCAGTAAATGCCTGAATGAATTTGCTCTTATAGTTCTCTTTTGCCCCCTTCTCTAATTATATATAAGTTGTGGAATATAAAATGTATTGTTTGTCCAGGAAATAAATAACTATTATAGGATACACTAATTACCATTTATCAGAATTGAACTTACTTTGTTAACACAGTTTACTGCAGAGGAAACCACGGGCCAAACCCAGGATTCTGGCACAGGTAGTCTGGCTCCTGAGTGCTCTATGCAGTGAATGCCCACACACCCCCACTATAGAATGGCTTTATGAGCCATTGATTTCCATTGGTTTAATTATGTATATAGAATTTTCCTATCTTTCATCCCCTGAGTTGCTATACCAGGGACACAATTTGTAGTTGAGTTTTGGCACTTTCAACCTTCTGGCATATTTGTTTGACTTTGGCAGAGGCCATCCAGTAGCAGATTTTATGGCCTGCCTTCCTCTAAACTGCGCCATGATCAGTATTCTCTAAATTGCACTATAATCAGTATTAGTATATTCAGTTTCTCAGCTAGCTTGGAAATGATATTATATGATAGTTGCAGAATTTCTTTGATGAAAATATTTAACACCCACAGTCATTTATTGCATTTCCATTTTGGTGCATATGTTTCACTACTGGTTTTTCTCTGTACTTATAGCATTTTTTTCCCATGACATCTAGCTGTTTTGTATATGGACCTAGGATTTTATTGGCCAGCATTTGAAACTTTAATTATTCTAATTTTTTTTTTTTTCCAGTTACAAAGCAGGGAAGTAGTTTTGTTATAGTTCCCTCTTACCTTGTAAATTGGCTGTTAAATAACTAATTTTTTTTTTATTTAGAATTCACATTAGTGATTCAGGAAAATATTTACAGTAAGCTTTAGACAACATATCAAAAAGCCTTTCCACTTAATTGAAAAGTAATTTCTTTTTTTTTCATGATGGAGTCTTGTTCTGTATTTTTAGTGGAGATGAATTAGCTCAATTACTTATTTTTTTACCTACCACATTTTGGCTTTATTGTTAACTGTTTACAATATTGATATATTCAGTTTTAATTATGTGAACTCATTTGAATGTCTTTAATTTTTCATTTCATACTAGGAATCAACTAGCAGCTAAGAAATTTCTGATCAAGGCATGAAACAGCATTAAACAGTGAAGTTGTTTGTTCAAATTATAATCATGATTATTTTTACATATTCTTTTCTAAACAACGAGGTAAAAATTCAATGCATTTTAAGATGACATAAATATATTAAAACAGGGTCTGTGGTTTCTAAGTTTTGCTAACCATCCTTAGCAGTTATTGTCAGTATTTCTAAGACAAGCATGACTATAAGTGGGGTTAGAGCCCCACATCAAGGAGTTGAACTGTGCCCATGTGGCTAATGGTATTCTAGGATCAAATATAAAGGGATAAGAAAGGTTTATCCTACTACTTTTAATTTTCGTGCTTAGTTCTTTATATTTGGGCAGATCAGCCCAAGAGCTTGCTGTAATTATCTCAGTTAAATTCAAAATAAATTTTTACACTTTTTGGCAGGCCCAACATCTAGAAATAGGGAAAAGGGGATAATTTTTTTTAAGGAAGTCTAAGACATTTAGTTTATTCCCTAATGGAAACACAACTGGTTTTTGTGTTTTCTTTTAAAAGAAAAATTGTGTTTCCATCCTCAAAAACTTTACTAAGCCATGCTGTCTTATTATCAAGCCCAAATTTAAAATTGCCTTTTGATCTCATTGTGTCTAAATCTAGCCTTAAAAGGAAGATATCTTCAAAATGCGTACTTGCCAAGAGTAAAAAAGGTTCATGCTAACTGTATAGTTTTATATTGTGCATTTATAGGTATATCGAGAAGTGCTTATTAAAGCTCTTCTCTTTGATAGTGTCAGTTGATTTTCACTAATGTTTGTTTTATAACTACATATTGCAGAAATACTAAGAATATTCACATGTTTTAAGGGCTTTTTGATTTAATTATTTTTATTTTTTAAGAAAGAGAAGATTCTGGTGAAGTTTTTTCTAAAATAGTCTTATCAGTAGCTTGAATGCATAATAGATTTTTTAATGTTTGGTTATTTGAGTTTAAAGTCCTAGATTTAAAAACAGAAAAAACTTCACCCTGGAGAAAGGCTTTATGGAAAAAAAAAAAAAACAAACTAAAGTCTTTTGTGAAAATAAGGACATTTTGCAATGTTTGCTTATAACTTGTGTGTACATGTACATATGTGTGTGAGATAGAATCGAAAACCATTTGTGAATATATATTTATGTTTTTAACATCTGTATACTGGACTGTTAAGCAGTTGGCAATGGCTGGGTCATTCAAAAATCAAGAAGTCTGCAGTTTACTATCTTATGGGGACCCTCTTTGTTTTCCCACACCTTACCAAAATCTTCTTTGTTTTCTAACTGACATTGTACATATTATTCTGGACTTACTAATAGGACTATGTAAACGTCACCTTTTTATGAGATGTGTCAGGTATCCCAAGGCCACCCTCTCCCCGATTCAGTGATTCACTTGGAGGACTCACAGAACTCAGCATAGCCTTACTTGTGGCTATGATTTATTACAGTGAAGGGATACAAAGCAAAATCACAGAGGGAAAAGGCACATATGGGGTAAAGTCCAGAGGAAACCAGACTTTCCAAACTCCCAGATTTTCCCAGTGGAGTCACACAAGGTACACATACTTCTAGCAGCAGATTTTGAGAGTACATATGAAATGTCCACTGGCAAAGTTCATTAGATACCCTATGTCCAAGGTTTTTGTTGGGAGTTGGTCATGTAGGTACCCTCTGCTTAGAATGTCCTAAATCCCAAACTCCCAGAAGGAAAGCAGAAGTTCAGCCTAAGCTGTATTTTTTGCACACACAGTTTAGGCACAGTGACCACTTTTATCAGTTAAGTTGGTGGAAACATTCCCAAAAATCTAAGTTAATAGATGCCAGCCGGTGGCCAACCTTGCAAGCAGGATGTTTTAAATATAACAGTATCAGGCCTGCTATGTTAACTCTTTTCTAGGGGGAAAAAAAAAGATAATTTTAACTTTTATTTAGCAGTATTTATTTATTTAAGTCTGTCATTCCAGTAATTAACATAAATCATTTATGAAAAGTGAAACTTTCTTACCTTGAGAGATGTTTAATGCCCTGTCCTGTTTGTTGGTAGTATCTAGTGGGTATAAGCCAATGTGTCCTCCAGCAATAAAATCATTTTTTCTATCCAAATACTACTGTCTGGATATTTTGATAATAACACTGTAAGAGTTTAGAAGCCTTATTTTTTCATAGTTTACTCACCAATTTTTATTGCTTTCATGAGACTTTAATAGCTTTCTGAGAATAACGTGATAGTAAAGTTATTGATGTTTCAACCTGCAAGTGAGTTACAATTTGTAAATAAAATATTTGTAGTCCATATGTATAACTTCAGTACTACTTGAACTGTAATATTAGTATTTTAATGTCATTTATTAACATTATATTTTGGAGACTGGAAAATGATTGAAACTACATTGGGAACCCAGATTCCTAGAGCTGGAAGAGTAAGCCTGAGCCCTTAATAAGCCATCAACTCCGCCCTAGTCCTTGGCTGGGTATGGAACTAAACCAGCTAAGACAGATGATGCAAAATAAAACTCCGGAAGAGGCGCTCCACACAGTTTTTAGGATCCTAAGTTTAGAGTATAATTATACTAACTATCTAAAAGCTGTCTTCTTTACCAAGATCACCTATTTTATTGGTCTTTACACAGTAAGCTGTTTAGAGAACAGTTTTAAAATATTCGATTAAAACAAATGCTAAATCATCCTTTAGCTGTTTTCTTTGCCAGATCGAGCCATCCTACTTTATTCAACCTTTCTCAGTGAAGTTACAGGATAATAATATGGTGTTTCGAAAAAAACAGAAGAAATGCCAGCGTAGTCTTCAATAGATATTCTTACCTTGGGGGTCTGTGGATTTGGACGGAAAGAAAAAATTATACTTTATTTTCCCTTACCTGTCTCAGAAATTGAGTATTTTCCTCCATTACTATATCACAAATTAATTTTCGGCTATTTGGTTATTTCAAAGTAATTCTTTTCTTCGTAACCCTGTGTATTTTATTTTATGAATTTAGAAACATTTTGAGAAGGGGTCAGTAGGCTTCACCAAGGGCCCATGGCAAAAAAGAAAAGTTACACTCTGTAATGTACCCAACTTGGAAAATTTTCAATGAGAATTCTCAGAATGTGCTTTTTTGCTTTCTTTCTGTGTTAGAGATAATAGTGACTGGTTATATACTTCATTTAATGTACTATTGTACCTTTAGGTTTATGTACAAGTTAATAAAGAAGCAGCAGATGATAAAAGTGTAGCAAAATCAGCACAGGAGTTCTTCCAACGATTGGAACTGGGCGATGTGCAAGCACTTTCACTGTGGCAAAAATTTCGGGACTTAAGCATTGAAGAGTACGTTCGGGTTTACAAGGTACTGGTTGACCCTCCCTTCTGCTTTCCCATGATGCGGTGCAGCTCTTGGCTGTAACCTGCATAGTAAAGTTGCTTGTGTTTTAATAATAGATCTGTAGATGAATTTAAAATTAGGACTCAAATTTTGTTTTTTGGGCTGAAAGAACTGCAAAATAATCCTAAACCAGTATCAGGTGATATTCTCATACTTCATTTTTATCTAGCTTTTCTGTTCTAGCATTCCTTCACTTTTTCGTATTTATTTTTTGTTCTTTCATTTCCTTAAACCGGTATATGATAGTTAATAAATTCATTTAATAAACATTTGGTGGTAGGGGATAATACAACAGCAAACAGAAGAGGAAAACCCTTGTTCTCGTGGACCTTACATTCTAGCCTAGAGACAGAGCACAAACTAAACAAATTAAAGGTAAAACAAGAAACAACTATTTTTTTATTAGATGGTGTTAGATGCTAGCTGGGGAGATCAGGTATGGAGTCTTTAGGTGGAATGAGGAGAATTTTGTAAAGAAGCCCATGTGACTGGAGTAAGTAAGCAAGATGAATGACAGGAGAAGGTTGAAGAGCTAGTTGCACATGGGGCATAATTCTAGGATTTCTCTAGGGCTATCCATTGCTTTTTGTGGTGATGGGAATCTTCTGTATCTGTGGCCGTCTCCTTCAGTAGCCACCAACCACATGTGGCCTGAAGTGTGAATAGTGTGACAGAACTAAATTCTCAATTTTGCTTAATTCCAGTTTAACAGTTTAGATTGTCACTTGGGCCTAGTGATTACTGTATTGCACAGCACAGTACCACTGTGAGGACTTGACTGGTATAGTGGAAACTATTAGGAGGTTTGAGGAGAGGAGTGATTTTTTTTTTTTAAACAAAAATAAAGAGACAGGTCCTCGCCATCTTGCCCAGGCTGGTCTTCAACTCCCAGGTGCAAGTGATCCTCCTGCCTGAGCCTCCTAAAGTGCTGGGATAATGGGCATGAGCCACCACACTCAGCCCTTGATTTAATTTTTATTGTGTTCATGTGTATGACAGGTGGTAGAGCATCCTTAATTTTGCCTTAGGGTAAGAATAGGAGATTCAATTAACATTTCTTTGTCTTTTTGTTTCTGAACTCTTTTAGCGTCTGGGAGTATATTTTGATGAATATTCAGGAGAATCATTTTATCGTGAAAAATCTCAAGAAGTCTTAAAGTTGCTGGAGAGTAAAGGACTCCTACTGAAAACAATGTATGATCAGGTTCCTGTTCTTTAGTAAAATTATTTGTTCTTTGAAATTGTTATTGATGTATCCTTTGAGTAAGGACAACAGAATGCAGTGTGCAGCTTTCTTGGGATTTTTTATAGTGCTTTTTCCTGTTCAGAGTACTTTCCCACATTCTGTATTTTGCTGCCATAGCAAAAGCTGTTAAGGTTTGGAGAAACGATGTTACTTGTTTTTTTATGAAGATGGGAACTGAAGCACAGAAAATACAAGTGACCTTCCTAAGGTCATATAACCTAATAATGGTATAACTGAAAAAAGGAAATAAATCCTACTATCTTCTGACTCAGTTTTACCTTTTAAAAGAAATCCCTGCCTTTTCAAAAAATATTTAAGGCAGCATGTGAAAATAAGTATACTATAACAGGCTTATAAATGAGGAAAATGATGAAAACAGGAAGTAGAGGCAAGAAAAGTAATATGAAGTCAGAGATGATGTTAGCATATCCCTCCTGGAATTCTATTTCCTTGCTTATGATAGATTTTTTTCTTTAAAAAAAAGTTGTGATTGATGAATGACACATTGTATATATTTATAGTGCACAACATGATTTGATATTTATATGCATACTGTGAAATGTTTAAATCAAGCTAATTAACATATCCATCACCTTTACATACTTACCTATGATGAGAACATTTAAAATCTCTGTTAGCAGTTTTCCAATGTACTATGCATTATTGTTAATTATACTCACAATGCTGTACAATAGATCTCCCGAACTTACTCCTGTTTAACTTTGTAGCCTTTAACCAACATCTCCCCATTCCCTGCCCTTGGTAACCTCCATTCTACTTCTCTGCTTCTATGATTGGAATTTTTTAGATTCCACATATGAGACTATACAGTATTTGTTTTCTGTGCATCGTTTATTTCACTGAGCATAATGTCCTTTCAGTTTATCCATGTTATCACAAATGACAGGATTTCCTTTTTTTTAAGGCTGCATATTACCTGTTGTATATTTTAAAGTCCATTCATCTGTTAAGGTTAATTCACATCTTGGCTATTGTGAATAATGTTACAATAACTATGGTAGGGCAGATTTCGCTTGGACATACTGATTTCATTTTCTTTGGATGTATACCCAGATGTGAGTTTGCTGGATCATATATATGGAGGTTCTGTTTTCAGTTTTTTGAGGAACCTCCACATTGTTTTCCATAATGGCTATACTAACATTCCCACCACTAGTATACAAGGGTTCCCTTTTATCCACATCATTACCAACGTTTATCTTTTTTTTTTTTTTTTTGATAAAAACCATCTTAACAAATGTGAAGAAATATCTTATTGTGGATTGTGGTTTTAATTTTGCGTTTCCCTGATGATTAGTGATGTTCAGCACCTTTTCATATACTTGTTAGCCTTTTGTTTGCCTTCTTTTGAGAAATGTCTATACGAGTCTTTGGCCCACGTTTTTGTTTTTCTTTTTTTTTTTTTTTTTTAAGTTCCCGGGCATGTGTACAGGATGTGCAGATTTGTTACATAGGTAAATGTGTGCCATGGTGATTTGCTATTTGCTGCACCTATCAACCCATCACCTATTAAGCCCAGCATCCATTAGCTATTTTTCCTGATGCTCTCCCACCCCCCATCCCGCAACAGGCCCCAGTGTGTGTTCTTTCCTTCCTTATGTCTCTGTGTTCACGTTGTTCAGCTCCCACTTATAAGTGAGAACATACCGTATTTGGTTTTCTGTTCCTGCATTAGTTTGCTGAGGATAATGGCTTCTTTGGCACACTTTTTAATTGGGTTTTTTTTGGTGGTGATGTTGGTTTGGTTTAGTTTTTTGTTTTTGTTTTTCCATTGAGTTGAGTTCCTTATATATTTTCATATTAACCTCTTATCAGATACATGTTTTCCACATATTTTCTTTCATGCTCTAGGTTGTCTCTTCACTTTGTTGATTGTTTTCTTTGCTGTGCAGAAGCTTTTTTAGTTTTATGCAATCCCATCTGTGTATTTTTGCTTTTGTTGCCTATGTTTGAGGACTACCTCCAAGAAATTTTGGTGCCAAGACTTCACTATTTTCCTCTAATAGTTCTACAGCTCAGGTCTTAGATTTGTCTTTAATCCACTTTGAGTTGAGTTTTGTACATGGTGAGAGATAAGGGTCTAGTTTCATTCTTCTGCATATGGATATCCAGTTTTCCCAATGTCATTTATTGAAGAGACTGTCCTTTTCTTTTTATTTTTTTGAGACAGGGTGTCGCTCTGTTGCCAAACTGGAGTGCAGTGGCGTGATCTTGGCTCAGTGCAACCTCTGCCTCCCGGTTTTAAGCGATTCTCCTGCCTCAGTCTCCCAAGTAGCTGGGATTACAAGCACATGCCACCACACCCAGCTAATTTTTGTATTCCCCCAAAGTGCTAGGATTACAGGCGTGAGCTGCCACACCTGGCCAAGACTGTCCCTTTCTTACTGTGTTATTTTGGCACCTTTGTCAAAAATCAGTTGACCTGACTGGGCATGGTGGGTCACGCCTGTAATCCCAGCAATTTGGGAGGCCGAGATGGGCAGATCACCTGAGGTCGGGAGTTCAATACCAGCCTGACCAACGTGAAGAAACCCCATCTCTACTAAAAATACAAAATTTAGCTGGGTGTGGTGGCACATGCCTATAATCCCAGCTGCTTGGGAGGCTCAGGCAGGAGAATCATTTGAACCCAGGAGGCAGAGGTTGTGGTGAGCCGAGATCAAGCCATTGTACTCCAGCCTGGGCAATAAGAGCGAAATTCCATCTCAAAAAAAGAAAAAAAAAAAATCAGTTGACCATAAATGTGTGAATTTGTATCTAGGCTCTCTATTCTATTCCATTGGTCTCTATGTTTTTGTCTGGTATGATGCTGTTTTGATTACTAGTTTGTTAGGTAGTGCGATGCCTCCAGCTTTGTTGTTGTTGTTGTTGTTGGAGACAGGGTCTGGCTTTGTCATCCTGGCTGTGGTACATTGGTGCTTTCTTGGCTCACTACAACCTCCACCTCCAGGTTCAAGCTATTCTCCTGCCTTAGCCTCCCAAATAGTTGGGATTACAGGCATGTGCCACCACACTCAGCTGATTGATTTTTGTATTTGTTAGTAGAGATGGAGTTTCACCATGTTGCCCAGGCTGATCTTGAACTCTTGGCTTCAAGTGATCCACCTGCCTTGGCCTTCCAAAGTGCTGGGATTATAGACGTGAGCCACCACAGCTGGCCCAGCTTTATTCTTTTTGCTCAATATTGCTTTGGGTATTTGGGGGTTTTTTGTGGTTCCATATAAATTTTATGATTGATTTTTCTATTTCTGTGAAAAATGCCATTGGAATTTTGGTAGGGATTGCATTGAATCTGTAGATTGCTTTTGGTGGTATGGACATTTTTAAAATATTGATTTTTCCAATCCAGTAATACAGGATATCTTTCCATTTATCTGTGTTTTGATTTCTTTCATCAGTGTTACATAGTTTTCAGTGTACAGATATTTTACCTCCTTGGTTAAATTTATTCCTATTTTGGTTTTGTTGACGTTATTATAAATGGAATTTTTTTTTTTAATTTCTTTTTCAGATAGGTTGTTGTTGTGTATAGAAATGCTACTGATTTTTGGCCGGGCGCGGTGGCTCACGCCTGTAATCCCAGCACTTTGGGAAGCCGAGGTATGTGGATCACATGAGGTCGGGAGTTTGAGACCAGCCCGGCCAACATAGTGAAAACCGGTCTCTACTAAAAACACAAAAATTAGCGGCTCGTGGTGGCGCATGCCTAATTCCAGCTACTTGGGAGGCTGAGGCAGGAGAATTGCTTGAACCTAGGAGGCAGAGGTTGCAATGAGCTGAGATTGTGCCACTGCACCACTCCAGTCTCGGCAACAAAGAAAGACCCTGACTCAAAAAAAAAAAAAAAAAAAAAAAAGGGCTACTGATTTTTGTATGTTGATTTTCTATACTGCAACTTTACAAAATTCATTTATTAATTCTAACAGTTTTTTGGTGGAATCTTCAGGGTTTTCTACTTATAAGATCATATTCAGAGTTTTCTATTTATAAGATCATATTGAAAAAAAAATCATATTACCTGCAGAGACAATTTAACTTCTTTTCCAATTTGGATACGTTTTATTTTTGTTTCTTGCCTAATTGTTTTCTAATTTAGCTTTTAGCTCCCTGTCAGCTAAACAGAGAAATACCAGTGAAAGAAGCCCAGATGTCTATAATGTAGAGGCAAACCAATTGCTTAAGAGACATGTCACTTTTCATAGTACCAAAGCAAAATTTCTCCTGTCATATTTATAAGGAAGATGTGAAACGTAGTTAATAGCATCCTCAGTAATGTCCCTAAGGAAAATTTTTAGATTATCATATGCAGATGCCAAAGTTTGGTCATACAGGAAAGACAAAAATCTGTAGTTTTAATACTTGGGTACTTTGTGGCATGTTAAAAATTAGCCCAATATTGAATGTTGTTATACCGTGAATTAGAAGGAAAATGTGTGACATTTCATAGTTACGATGCAGCTGCATCTCATTTTTCAACTGGGTATATTAAAGATTTTATTTCTGAGTACCTTATCCGGAACTACAGATTTAAAAGCTAAGATAACCAAACATTAATTACATCATACCCATTCGTAAGAGATTCTTGGTCATATTCTTGTTTTTTACCATTATTGGTTAAAACTTGAATTGGCATTGCTTATTGCAACTTGGGTAATAAAAATAGCTTCTGGTTTGCTGAAGATAATGTTTTAGATATTACAATTTTAAAGGTCTGAATTTATTATGTTGCTTTAAAGTTACCTTTTTGCATTTCTAGAAAAGGAACGGCTGTTGTAGATCTCTCTGGGAATGGCGACTCCTCCTCAATTTGTACTGTAATGCGAAGTGATGGTACTTCTCTCTATGCAACCAGGTTTGTAGCCTCTGTGAAGGTAAACATTTGGTTCTAAATCTGTTGCTTTCACATGAAAAACTATTTACAATTAATTATGCATTATCGAACTCCACAGCTGACGACATTATTCTATAAGCTGTAAAACTGAAGTACTTCATAATCAACTAAAAGTATTTTACAATGGCATGTTGGCAGGAAATGTATACTAAAAGATGACCATATTAGCTCAGGGGTTTCCTCATGCTGTAAAGAACATCTTACATGCACATAAATACCAGACCTCGCTGGGATTTGGTAAAGCAGGCTGAGGGAGAAGGCAGCCATGTCACATTTTTTTTCTATCCGTCTTCGTGACTGACCTTTGTGGAAGGGCCAATCTCTGTTCATCAGTAAGAAGTGGGTTTATCAAGCTCTCTTATTTCTGGGACAAAGCTAATAGGAAAGAGAAGCACTGGTGGCAAAAGTGTCTCCCAGGCCAGAATTTTATATTAGGTCACAAATCACTTTTGTAACATAAAGTCATGATATTTTGTTGTTGTTATATTAACTACCGTAATTTGTTCCAAACAAATTATGTACCTTAACACCTGTACTTTAAGCAACCAATCAAGTCTCTTAATTTCCCCTTAGGAAATTCATCTCTTACCTTCTATTACTTTTCGACATTTCCCTTTACCAATTCTATGCAATTGGGATTAGGAAATGAGAAGAGCTTATATATCTAAGAGGTACATTGTTTTTCTAGATAAGCAAATATGTATATTAGAAAAGTTTTTTGTATCAACTAATTATTGCTAGACAGATTAAATAAATAAACCCTTGCACAGTAGTTGTAAGAAGTATCCATTGAGAACAGAGGCTCTGTAAGTATTCGGGTCTGGTTAGTGTCTTTTGGGCTATCATTAGGTCTCAATTTTTCCAACACCTATATTTTTCTTTGGAAAAAGAAACATCCCATCAGAAAAGGGGCCCTATGACATGAGATCTCTATAACTATCCTGATTTGGTGTTTTTTCAGGCTGTCATTAGATGTAGACTTTTCTGTGTATTTACCTTAACACCTGTACTTTCTTTTTTTCTTTGAAAATAATTGTCTTTTTGCCACTTATTGAAATGTTAGATTTTTCGCTTTGCTTTATTGTCAGTTGCTTCTGCCTTCTAGTGGGTTTCTTATAGAATACCTTTGTGTGGGGATTGTAAATCAAAGTTGTTATAGCAGACAAAAGTGCAGGAGAATACTGAAAAGCGCAGAGTGTGAGGCTGGAGACCTGGGACTGTCGTTTAATTCTCTGGGCCATGATTCTGTACTTTGTGAAAGGAGAGATCTGGATTAAATGACCTGGCACTTCTTTTGGCTTTGAAATTCAGTTTCTACAAATTCAACCTAGAAATTGTTCTTATTCTTTTGTGTTTTTTCATTGGATCAAAAAGTTTCCCTTTGTTTTGTCCTTGTCTCAAACCAAAAAAATGTAACACAAGTGTCTATTTGTGACATCATTTTTGTGATAATCTGCTATACAAGTTTCTCGACATTTTTAAAATTATAATCCCTCCAAGCAACCTTTTCAGCCATATTTTTCCTAATTGCCAATTCTCATGAAATTTTATCCCACACATTTTCTGTATCTCTGTATATATTGTATGCATATCTGTGGTTTATGCATGAAGAATAAGATTTTTTGTTGGCCAACTGTAGTGGCTCACGCCTGTAATCTTAGAACTTTGGGAAGCCAAAGCAGGAGGATCACTTGAGGCCAGAAGTTTGAAACCAGCCTAGGCAATATAATGAGACCCATCTCTACAAAAAATATGCAGTGGCTCTTGCCTATATTCTCAGCACTTTGGGAGGATGAGGAGGGTGGATCATCTGAGGTCAGGAGTTCAAAACCAGCCTGGCCAACATGATGAGACCCTGTCTCTACTAAAAACACAAAAATTAGCCAGTTTTTGCCTCCATTGAGAATGCATGCTCTTTGCAATGTCAGGATCATGAGATAGGTACTAATGACATTTTAATGATCCCTAACATTTCAAAAGATCGAGGAATGTTTTCAGTCTTTCCAGTATCATATGCTGTTAATCAAAAATAGCTCTAATTTTAAACTTTAATATTTCATAATCCTTGACTTGAAATTTTGGTTTATTTTTCATTATTTCATATGCCAACTAGATACTTGTATCTAATCAGAGATAAAAGAGAAATTCTGTCAAAGGACTTTATGGCTTTTTTTTTTTTTTTTTTTTTTTGGAGACAGAGTCTTGCTCTGTCGCTCAGGTTGGAGTGCAGTGGCACGATCTCGGCTCACTGTAGACTCCACCTCCCACCTCCTAGGTTCAAGCGATTCTCCTGCCTCAGCCTCCTGAATAGCTGGGATTACAGGTGTGCGCCACCCCGCCCAGCTAATTTTTGTATTTTTAGTAGAGACAGGGTTTTACCTGTTGGTCAGGCTGGTCTCGAACTCCTGACCTCAAGTGATCCTCCCACCTTGGCCTCCCAAAGTGCTGGGATTACAGGCATGAGCCACCGCACCCGGCCGACTTTATGGTCTTTTAAATGCATTAGAAGGTATTCCCCTGACTGACCCAAGACTTTGAAAGTCCTTAGTAATACTAATAGGAGAGTATCTAGACAATACCTGTTTACTACATCATCTATATTTTAAATATGTTCGTTAAGAGAATATATTGCAGAGAAGTAACGGGTGATTCTTTTTAGTAGAGACTTAATCATGAAACATTTACCTACAAGACGCTTCACCCAGAGCTATTTTAGTTGTTATTACTACATATTGTAGAACTTTTATATATTAATTTTATTTATTTATATTTATTTTAGGTTTTACTTTTGCCAGTGTTTTTATTGTTGTTTTCCCCAAACCTATTTTTATCATTTTATATCAAAATGTGGTATTTGAATTGTCTTAAGTGTGGTTGGAATTCCTCAGGCTGTGGGATAATTTAAGTTCTTAATTAGAAAATGCTCATTGCTATTAAATAGGTAAAATCAATTATTACCCAGATCTGCTTAGTAACTCTTGGTTTATGGCCACTTTTTCAGAGATCTTGCAGCTGCTATAGATCGAATGGACAAGTATAATTTTGATACAATGATATATGTGGTAAGTAATCAGAACAAAAAGTTACGATCTCTAACTCATGAAAATTACAGAGGTAGAAATTGGATGCCATGTTGAAAACCTATGGAAAACTAATTATGTAAAACTACAGAGAGAAGTCAACATTAAGTATGTTTAAAGTGCGCAACTTCTATTTAAAAGTTTAAACACTTAAAAATGAAAAAGTTTACATTGCTTCATAGCAAGAAAAAATTACCTGAATCAGCAAAATAGTTATGTGAAATTAATATATACAGATCACCATAATGCAAAGTTTTTTTGTTTTTTAGTTTTCAATTCTAAATTGGGGTCAACGGTTGTTTTTAAATAACTTTATTTTGAAGTAATTTAATACTCACAAAAAGTTTCAAAATAGTACAGTGTTTCCCCCCAAAGATAGTGTATAACCATAGTACTTTTATCAATATCAGGAAATTAACATTGATAGAGACCTTACTGAAATTTCGCCAGCTTTTACATGTACTCTCCTGTAGATGTTTGTGTGGGTATGGTTTTATGAGACTTTATCACATGTATAGATTCATGTAACCATCACCACATTCAGAATATAGAACTGTTCCATCACAAAACAAACTCCCTCGTGGTCAACCACTTAATAATCACACCTTCACCCAATCCTAACCCCTGGCAGCCAGTGCTCTGTTCTTCAGCACAATTTTGTCACTTTAAGAATGTTGTATAAATGGAATTATACAATATGTAACTTTTGAGATTGGCTTTTTTCACTCAATATAATGAATGCCCTGGAGAACTATCCAGGCTGTGCTGTGTGTCAGTAGTTCGTTCCTTTTATTGCTGAGTGGTATTCTAGTATCTTTTCCCCCTTTCATTACTTACCATGTGAAACCTTCCTTTTCACTTAGAAGAAAAGTTGCCATCAAATATTTATTTAGAGCTGAACTTTGGTCTCAGAGACTAGGGTCATAATAGCCAAGAGGGCAGAAATTTAAATGGAATACTCAGAAGGTTGAAGTTCACATTTCCTACTGACTCGGTGGAGTGCTACGGCTCTTATTCCCCTCCCTTGTAGAGCACTTCACTTAGACACTCTTCTTGTGGCATCCTCTTTGTGTTTACTTAAAATGTATTGATTGACAATGACTTTAGTGTGTCAAACCTCAAATATCTTAATTTGATTCAAGTCCAACCTATTCTTGTACATTAATTTGTCACTGTTCTTTTATTTTGTATATGTTTTCTTCCCAAGACAGATAAAGGACAAAAAAAGCATTTTCAGCAAGTATTCCAAATGCTGAAGATCATGGGATATGACTGGGCAGAAAGGTAATGTCTGCATGGTTCTTAATTGTCTCTGCAGGGTCAGCGGAGCCTGAAAATGTACCTAGTGGTTAAAAGTTTTTCATTCAAATTTCAATTCTTTGTTTCAAGATATTAGTATGGAAAAGTAGATTTGATTTTTGTATTATGTCTTGGTTATAATAATTTCCACCTTACAAACATTTAATAACTGTATTTTTATTAGTTATCTGCTCTCCGTGGCTTAGTTTTCAAAATTCTTAATCCACATCTCCTTTTTCTCCTAAAGGCAACTAGTAGTTTAATCACATGCTATTGATTATAAAGTGAAGATGTGCTTAATGTCCTTTGTAGCACACAAATCACATCAATTTCATTTTATTAATTTTTAAAAACTCTGAGGGTTAAAGTTCAAACCACTCTCTGAAAGGTATTATATGCTTTCAGCAGCAGCTCTTGTTTAGCTCTCAGTTAACTAGATGCCCACTCTTTTAGGTGCCAGCATGTGCCCTTTGGAGTAGTGCAGGGAATGAAGACTCGAAGAGGAGATGTCACTTTCCTGGAAGATGTTTTAAATGAGATTCAATTAAGGATGCTACAGAACATGGCTTCAATTAAGAGTGAATTCAGTTTTTTCTTATTAAAATCATAACTTACATGCCACTTTTATGTTATTCTGGACTTTGGGCAGTGTGATTTATTATGTCTGTCCTTCCATTGAAGTGTCACTAACTTTGTCAAAAATAGCTTTCACTAATTAGAGGTGCCAGAATTTTTATACTTGCTACTCGGGAATTGGTCACTTCAATAATCTGAATTGCTATAACCTTGGTCCTCTTTTCATGAACAGCTTGAGCATTGTCATTCTGTTGTCTGGGTGGTCACTTGAAGTTTCTATGTTATAATTTGGATTCAAATCACAAGTCCTTATGACTTTAACCTTCATCCTTGGAAAACTAAGTATCAGATATCCTACAAGTATCTTTTGAATAAATAAATTTGGATTTCTTTCCCTTTAATGTAGGCAGGGGAAATGTCATTATCAAAGGTAAAATAGCCTAAATTAGGAAAGTAAATTACTCATTCTAAATCTGTTCTTGATTGTCAGCATGCATTTTTGGCAGATATTACCTTCACTTGGATCCATGATTGGCACAGTGTCACGTAGAATAAAGATAGCTGCCTTTGTCTGTTTCAGCAACTAAAGAACTCAAGAACCCACAGGAGACTGCAGAGAGGGTCGGGCTCGCAGCACTCATTATTCAGGTCTGTTAAGACTCCTATCTGTGAGGCCCTTTTGTCTGGTACTAGAGCAAATCCCAGCAGTGAAGATTTCCTCTGTCGTTTTAGGACTTCAAAGGTTTACTCTTATCTGACTACAAGTTCAGCTGGGATCGTGTTTTCCAGAGTCGCGGGGACACAGGAGTCTTCCTACAGTACACACACGCCCGCCTCCACAGGTGAGAAGAGGCTGCAGGGAAACCTTGTACTGCACTGTACTTCCCTAGGTTGGGTCCTGTGATTCTGAGACCAGGGGCCCTGTTTTCTCGGCTTTTCCAATATCTTCTATTCAGATCTGACTAGAGTAGGCCTTCTTTTAGGGAAAAAAAATTTTTTTATTGAGCATCTATGTTAGAAATATATTTATGTGTATTATCTTAGTCCTCAGAATAACCCTGTCGAAGAATATACTGTTACCTCCATTGTGTATGGATAAAGAAATAGATTTAGGAAAATTAAAGTATCAGATCAAACAGTGTTGGCATCAAAGTCTAGGGCTGTATTAAGGAGACCAAAATTGTGTATTAGAAGGTGATGTTCATCACTTGGAGCTCTGTGCCCTTGTATGACTTTTTAATCTTTTGATGTTTTTAACTTTAAACTTTTGATAACAGTTTGGAAGAGACTTTTGGATGTGGGTACCTGAATGACTTCAACACTGCTTGTTTACAAGAGCCACAGTCTGTTTCAATTCTTCAGCATCTTCTCAGGTACGATGTTTTCTAGGGATCATCAAGTGTGCTTCTGCTTATCAAAATGGCTATTAGCATTTTTGCTGCCCAGTCGAGTTAACAGGCCAGTAGCTGCCTTCTGCCTCTAGACTTTTCCCAAAGGGATGCCTAAAAAGTGATTATTTGCATTTTGAGGGCAGAAGGCATAGATTAAGACAATGCTCAAGGAGGACAGTCTTTAGGTCTTCAGAATATTATCACTGATGAATAGCACACGTGTCTAGCCGCCTCGGGCTCACAGAAAGCCTTATAAAAGCATAACCTTTTAGTTTGAGAAAGCATCTTCTTGCCCTCTGTGATAAGTGAAGGAAAACACCTGCCTTTGTGCAGCTTCCCAGAGACCGTAAGTCCTTCATTTGCCTCTTGGTTTCAGTTCATAATCTCAAATACATGTATCTGATGCTCCCATGCTAGGCAAGACACCACACATTTTAGCTCTGACGGGGATTGTTGGTGAAGCCAAACATGCCAGAGCTTAATCTCTAGAAGGGATGTGGGTGGTTATGAACAAGGCAGTTTTCTTTGATTGCTATGTAGTAGTCAGTGGTTCTTTCCTGGGATCAGAAAAATTTACTCACATGTACAATAGCTAATGTGAGGAAAAATAAGCCACCTGGGTTGTCTTAGCACTGAGGGTAGACTTTGGTCATTTATATTTTATATTCCTAAACATGGCTGGAGGCTTTTTACATTCACCAGCCATGATTAAAATTTTTGATGTGGACTAGGTCTAGGGAATAGCAAGATGATTTAGAAATCCCTGCCATCAAAGAATTTGTAAGACAGAAAATGTTCCTTTGCCTACAAATGTACACACAGTTTTTTCATATCCTTCTACTCTTTTTTTTTTTTTTTTTTTTTTTGAGACAGAGTCTCGCTCTGTGGCCCAGGCTAGAGTACAGTGACTGAATTTCGGCTCACTGAAACCTCTGCTTCCCGGATTCAAGCGATTCTTCTGCCTCAGCCTCCCGGGTAGCTGGGACTGCAGGCACTGGCCAACACGCCTGGCTACTTTTTGTATTTTTAGTCAAGAACAGGGTTCACCATATTGGCCAGGCTGGTCTCAAACTCCTGACCTCGTGATCCACCCACCTCGGTCTCCCAAAGTGCTACGATTACAGATGTGAGACACTGCGCCTGGCCATACCTTCTACTCTTAATCATGTCAAGTCAATCTTATATTCATGATCTTTTAATGTCTAATGTCTTAGTGTAACATGTACAGTCTTTTCCTGTTCACTGTTCCTGTCATCTTTTAGGTTCGACGAGGTGCTTTATAAGTCATCTCAGGATCTTCAACCCAGGCATATTGTCAGTTACCTTCTAACTTTAAGGTACTTTATAATCTTCCTGTTTTCAGATGTTTAATGGCATTTGAGACCTTTCTTTCATCTAAAGGTTTCCTATAAACAAATTCCTTGGTCTAAAATTTGATGTGCTTTTAGTTACAGGAATTATTGCTTCATCTATACAAATTAGCAGTTAATGTTCCTTCATTCATTCAGTGATACAAGGTACTGTCACCAAGACTGGAGAATGGGAACTGACAACTCCACAGTTACAGCACAGTGCATGTGTGTTATGTTAGAGTGAACATAAGAGACGGTGTTAGGGCAACCAGCCCAGCCTTGAGAGATCAGAGAGGGCTTCTCAGAGGAAAGGAGATACTAATCAGGAGAAGGAATGTGGCTGGGAAGAAGAAAAAAGCCCAGAGTTGAGCAAGAGCATAATAATACATTTTAAAGGATCCATAAGCATTGTCCTGGGAGGCTGATAAATGAAGCGTGTATAAACCTGTTTGCCATGTACTGAGGCATTTAAACTTATTTTCAGGACAGTGGGGTCCATACAGGAATTTTAGGCAGAGGCACAGAAAAATAAGCTAGAAAACTTAATTTTTCTAATATTTAATGACAATTTCATGGTGTCTATTTTAGAAACTTGAAATCGAAATTATTGAGTCCACCCTTGTATAGCAGCAGCTGTATCTTCCATAAAGCTATTTAATAAAAGAAATTTTGCTTTTACTCAATATTTATTGAAATCAGACACTTATCAGGACTGTTCTCTTGATTATACTTTTTACCTTGTCTTCTCTAGATTTACGTAAGGATTTTTTTCTTCCTTTAAATGACACTTAAGACATACAGAGGTGAAGAAGTCTTTTTTTTTTTCTTTTCTTTTCTTTGAGACGGCATCTCACTCTGTTATCCAGGCTGGAGTGCGATCTTGACTCACTGCAACCTCCACCTCCTGGATTCAAGCAATTCTCCTGCCTTAGCCTCTCTAGTAGCTGGGATTATAGGCGTGCACCCTCATGCCCAGCTAATGTACAAAATCTTATGAAATGTCATTTTATCATTAAAACTGATGTCTTAAGTATCATTTCTTTGACACGTTGTTATACTTGATGCCATACCTAAATTTAAAAAGATACTTTAAAGAAGAGTGGCCAGTGTGTGTGGAGAGTGGATAACTAGTTTCTACCCACCTCACTGTACAGAGGAAAAGGCCATGCTATGTTATACATTTGATTGTAGGCTGCCTAAATGAGGAAAAATGATTAGAAAAGAATCCTTTATATTTGTAAAATTAACAATGAAATCATAATCTTAAGAATTGCCCACCTCTTAGTAGTAGAATAGGACCGAGATCTAAAGCTTGAGTTTTGAATTCCAGTTTCAACTTTACAGTTTTGAATACATCCTTTAATGGTTCTTTGCTTTATTTATTAAGTTGAAGGAGTAAGATTGGGTATCAAGCTCATATCTTACAACAGGAAATTACTGCTGGAACCGTCATGATTTCTCTCTTCCTGTTTCAGTCATCTTGCAGCTGTGGCACACAGAACACTACAAATAAAAGATAGTCCTCCTGAAGTGGCTGGGGTATGTTATGTTGAATGTTTTCTGTATAATCCCTAGCTCCTCAGACTAATATTACTAAGTCAGTCTTGTAAATTTTTCTAAAATAGCTTTCTGTTGTTCAACTGTAGCAGTGTACTTCCTCAGCTAATAATTAGGCTGTAACAATCAATATTTATATACTTCCCAACATACTAGACTATGAAGCACATTTTCCTACATGAAATATTATAGTGATAAGTTTCCCTTATCTGAAGGCATACTGTATAATACTATCACTCCCACTCCATGACACTTTATGTACAGGTCTTACTATAAGGGATGCTAGGAATTTATCTTCTCTTGCCTGTAGTAACTCTAGGGCACTTTGACATATTGTTCCTGCTTTAAATTAGAAAGAATTACCTTTAACCATTCTCATGTATTGAATACATTCCTGTTATTGAATATTTTAAATCATTCTTTATTTTGTAGGCCAGACTTCATCTTTTCAAAGCTGTCCGTTCTGTCCTAGCCAATGGAATGAAACTTCTTGGAATAACACCTGTATGTAGGATGTAATTTCCATTAAAATGGCTTTTAAAATGTCAAATGAACTCTAGTTATCTATTCTGAGATGCCTTACTGTTCAGAATAATTTTTTTTTTTTGAGATGGAGTTTCTCTCGTTGCCCAGGCTAGAGTGCGATGGTGTGATCTTGGCTCGCTGTAACCTCCACCTCCCGGGTTCAAGCGATTCTCCTGCCTCAGTCTCCTGAGTAGCTGGGATTACAGGCATATGCCATCACGCCTGGCTAATTTTTTGTATTTTTAGTAGAGACGGGGTTTCTCTATGTTGGTCAGGCTGGTCTTGAACTCCCGACCTCAGATGATCCGCCCGCCTTGGCCTCCCAAAGTGCTGGGATTACAGGCATGAGCCACCATCACCAGCCAAAGTTAAACTATTATTCTGTGTCAGAATCTGTATTAAGTGTGACTTGTCAAGTTATTCAGTCTTTATCCTTAAATAAATAAGTCATCTGAATTATCTTATGGTCAGTAGCTATTTAAATAGACATTGACTTTTTTTAAACCCAAAGCTTTGTGGTCTAATGGGGCTAAAGGATTTGAGTTTAAACTTTGGCTTGAAATTTCTTACCATGTCATATTCTTCCAGAAACTATTCTTACATATGATTCTATAGTAGATTATACATGATTCAGAAACTATTCTGAAATGATTTAATGTTTTCATGAAATAAAAGAATTGGTGGGGGGGAAGTATCAATTTTCTTGTAATTGTGGCTAGTTTGGAATAAACATAGGGAGATCAAAAATAAGCATCTTTCTGTCAGTATAGCTGACAGCTACTCCTAGAGACAATAGACCTCATGCTTCCCTTTGAGTTAACATATACAGGTAACTCTTACTGTGTGAATTCAGGAACTAAATACATTTTAATAGCAAGGAATTACTTGTAAAGACATTGAATTAGGATCTTTTTGTAAAATGTAGTCCATTAATTCAACCATAATTTGAAATGGAGTTTCTTATAGTTTCCTTCATATATCTTCATATTGGTGACATACATTTTGTGTGGCTTCATTAGATAATATGAGCATGGCTTAGGCAACAAGAGTAGGATGTGGTGTGTTTGATCAGTATGGACATCCTCATCAGCCAGCATTTCCATTCAGGTCTGCTATAATTTATTGTAAATGTTGCTAATAGTCTTTTGAATACCAGTGATAGTCTATTTTTATGAATAAAGAAGCAAATTAGCACAAACTGAAGCTTCTCTAGAGTGAAAATTGTTTCAGATTAGCAATTATGACTTACCTTCTTAGTCCTAGAAAAGATTCAGCCTTGCAGTTCCAATTTAAGTGAAATAACTCCCAGATAGCTAATTTTCGACTGCCAAATTTTTCTTAGCATAAACCAGCCAAGGGATAAAAATGTAGAGACATGTTTTACACCTCCAATATAAACTTTCCCCTTCCAAGATCAGTAGTGTCTTCCTGAGTATTTGAATCTTGAGTGAAACCATACAGGAACAGTAATGGGTAGAGCCAAATCTTTACAAAAGCTAAAAAGATTTTTCATTAATTCTTAGAACCCAGACGCCTGTAGCCCTGTTTGTGGACCTTCTTAAAAATTCTTTTTTGCTTAAGGCTTGCCCAGAGTTGATTTGCAGCCAGAGAACCCTAACTGATACAATTCTACATATAGAAAATAAAAGTGCATTATTTTAATGGTCATATGTATAATATTAAAAAGTGATTAAACAGAATTCAGAATTCATATAAAGTTTATTGCTGAATTTCCCCATTAACATTACAGAAAACACTGAAATTTCACAAATTATTGAGAGTCCAACAGTTAAACATACTTTATTTAAAAAAGTACAAAAGTGACATTAGAAATTTTTTGAAGAAAAGTATATCATCTAACAGCAAAGAAATATGAACCAGATAATGAATGGCACAAATATAGCACTAAAGGGGTACTCAATCACCACCGAGAAATCATGAGTTATGAAATAGATTCATTTTGAGAAGTTACACATTCAGTTTGTTTATGAACTAGTCTGTCTTGTTTCTGCCTCTTGTAAGTAAAGAACTAAGTCTTTACTGCTGCTAGGACAAAATACTGTACATGAATTGGAGAATAAGGAGGGGTCATCCTTCTCCCCTGGTACCTGAACATGAGAACAGTTAGTACAGAAATGGCTTTGGCACTTTAACCCTTAGACATTGTCCCAAACCTTGTTACTTGAGTATTGTAGCCTCACCATGATTTTTTTTTTTTAAAGACCGTATCATCTCCATACATCTTATGTACAAATTATATACACAATAATAAAATTCCTTCATTCTAAAACAATAGTTTGACCCCAAACAGGTCCACATTAAGTTTCTGTATTAGCAGTTCACTCAGATAGCTTTGTTCGTTGTTTCCACATACAGCACTGATCTTAATTCTTATGCCATATAGTTAATTTTTTATTTGTTTATGCTACCTTCTGGGATTGACTTAAGGCTCTAGTTTAATGCAAATGGTTTAGTCTTAACAGGAGTCTCATGTGAGGCTAAAATCACACACCAATAACTCTCTCCTTTGAAGCTATTTCTCCTTGTTGGATGGATGTAGTGTCTTGTCTGGGTAATCCATAGAGATATATGGAAACACATACAAGAAGAGTACCCAGGGCAAAGGTGAGTGCTGAAAAGAAAAAACAAAACAAAACAGCTTTATTTGTATGTGTGTCTTTAAAACTGCCTAATGATCAGTTTAAAATTTTGAAAACTCTTAATTGTGGGTTTACGCTATCAGATCATATTTATATGATGGCAAGGTTTAGAAAGGTCTTCTATTACAGCAAAAAAAAAGAAACAAAAACAGGAGGTGGGCGGCAGGGCGGGTAAAATCAAGGCAGTGTTGATCACTGATTAGACTTTTTAGAACATGAGTATGTCTGACACCACTCTGACAAAGAACATACTAATTTCCCTATAAAATATATAATTTTTTAAAAATGTAAGTATAAATATATATATAAGTACAAAAGAAAATGTGGTAGAATTGGCTTTTCCATGATACCAGGAACCTGTGAAAGTTTAGAGTAAAAGATAGTTGAGCAAAATTCAGTTAGGTGACCATTCAAACAAATCAAAAAAATCATAATTTCTTAATAGGAGATGAGGCGATAATTTACTACTAGTCTTAACCCTTTTTTCATCTTTTTTTTTTTTTTTTTTTTTGAGACAGAGTTTCGCTCTTGTTGCCCAGGCTGAAGTGCAATGGCGCAATCTCGGCTCACCGCAACCTCTGCCTCCCGGGTCCAAACGATTCTCCTGTCTCAGCCTCCCGAGTAACTAGGAGGAGCATGCTCCACCATGCCTAGCCAATTTTGTATTTTTGGTAGAGACAGGGTTTCTCCATGTTGACAGGCTGGTATCTGCCTTGACCTCCCAAAGTGCTGGGATTACAGACATGAGCCACCATGCCCGGCCCCTTTTTTCATCTTAATCTTAAAAATCAGGATACAAGAAACCAAAATATAACTTGTCCTAACTTGACAAATAAATATATTTCTATGACATCAAGCTTTATTTTAGTTCACTCCTAACTGAAAAAAAACCAGCTGTGCCTTCAAAAAAGGGGAAGGCGGGCCGGGCGCGGTGGCTCAAGCCTGTAATCCCAGCACTTTGGGAGGCCGAGACGGGCGGATCACGAGGTCAGGAGATCGAGACCATCCTGGCTAACACGGTGAAACCCCGTCTCTACTAAAAATACAAAAAACTAGCCGGGCGAGGTGGCGGGCGCCTGTAGTCCCAGCCTCCGGGAGGCTGAGGCCGGAGAATGGCGTGAACCCAGGAGGCGGAGCTTGCAGTGAGCTGAGATCCCGCCACGGCACTCCAACCTGGGCGGCAGAGCGAGACTCCGCCCCAAAAAAAAAAAAAGGGGGAAGGTAGGATAAAAACATATCTAAACAGTTAACTGAAAGATTGCTAAGACATGCTAGTTGACCATCAGTAAGAACATTAAACAAAAGCATTTTATACTGTTCCTATGTACTTCTTATGAGCAATGCTATAAGGATTTTGTTGAACATAAAGATAGATCAGAATTACAACTAACAGTTTACCCAAATCGGGTAGAAAAATATCTAAGAGAAACCCTATAAGTACCTGATGACTGAAATGGTAAGTGGTTAGTAAGTAGTGCCAGGCACTACTCTAAAGCACTTCACCTGAAAACAACCCTAGGCAATAGGTGATATTATTCCCATTTTACAGATGAAAAAAGTGTCACCCAGGGTACAGAACTTCCCCAAGGTTGCACAGTTAAGAAATGGTACAGGCAAGATTTGCCACACACTATACATGGTTTTCTAAAATTTCTACAACATTGGCTTTTCCCTATTTCCATTTACAGACAGGAGTCAACTTAAAAATGAAATGTAAATATAAGCCAGGTCTCTTTTACTTGATATATTTAATAGCTATTCTTCATATATTGGTTTGTTATAGTAACTGATCAGTAAAGAAAATTACTACACTATAAAAGCACCCTGAAATGTTAAGTCAGTATCATTGCTTAAATAATTCAGAAGCCAAATTAATGCTGGGTGTGTTATATTAGGACTAGCAAAGCAGTGGTACTGGAATGCCAGCTATATTAATGAGTTTTATATTAATTACATATTGAATGAAACAAAGATGTAAAAGACAAAATCTAGATTTGGATTTTGTTTTCAAAACCATCTCAAACCCGAATCCAAACCAGTTGGAAAGTACAAGCTGAGGGAGGAATAAAAGATGTTCTCTACATTCTTCTAAATAATGAGCCAATATAGTTTAAACTGACTGCTGCAAATAATTTTCCTAAAGTCTTTATATGTATTTCCTTGAGTACCTTCTCACATTCAGTCACTCAAGTTGTCCTATATAATACCTAAAATATACAGGGAGGCCTTGACTGCAAAAAAATTCCCTTCACTTTCACATAGAACCAGTACCCTTCGTCTTAAGCTCTAAGACCACTTAAACAACCAAAGTGCTGCTTAGCCACATCCCATACAACTATGAACAGCGGTACAGGTAGAATAAACTGTAGTAACAATACTAGGAATTTCTGTAAACAGTATGGCCAACTGCCACTTTTAAATAAAGGAATACATGAATCAAGGAAATGAGAGGCTCTTCCATGTTAAAAACTCAACACAAATTAAGACATACTTATCTGTAATCCAAACAGCATTACTGAAGCAATGGTGGAAAGGACAATGGCCGCTGCTGCAGAAAAGCCTTTCATGATGTTGTCTGTGTACTTAACCACAACAGAAGTGTAGAGGCCACCAACACTTGCAAGAACTTGTATACAGAAAGAAAGAAAATCTTATCACTCAAATAAATGAAACATTACATAATGGTGAGGCAATTTTCATCCCCAAGAGATGCCATACTAATTTACCTAGGAAAAGGAAAATACTGTTTTCCTTAGGAGTCATCTGAGAGTTTGTATTAAAATTGAGTAGTAGTTCCTATATAATACTGTTTTTCCAAAACAATGCCCAGAGGGCTATGTGGTATACTAAATTTTACACATTTTTTGCTAATACGTTAGATATTTTGGGGCATTGCTATCCCAAAGCAATTTTGCCTTCACAATCAAAACTAAGTCAATAAAATGAAAATACATTCAAACTGGTATTTACAGTATCAAAGGATTAATTTCAAAATGTTATAACAGCTTAAAATGGACATCTAACTTAAAAAATAAAGGATCTACTAAGAACCTTTAATTCCTGGATACTTACAGATGACAAACCAGACATAATATGTGTAACCATAGAAAAATCCTTTTTCTTTAATTTCAGCTCCATCTGACAAGTAGACGCCAACTAATGTCACAATAATCCCTGATAGATACATTTGAATGTTTCTCACCCAAAGAGAAGTATCTGAACTCTTTAAAACTTTTTCAAAATATACTCCTGAAAGAAGAAAATTAGACATGCAAATATTAAAGATTACTATAAATTAATTTAAAATGTCTTTCCTTTAGAAAAATATCCTAGAGATATATAAAGTATATGATTTGGGGAACAAAACATACTTTACTTGAATGTGCACTTATTATGCAGGTTGTGACACATGGCATACTGTACATTATAAATTTATGTTTTTACAGAGTATATAGAATAATAACAGTGGAAAGTTTATAAGCTACATTTAACAGAAGGCTGTTAAGACAGTTTCTGCCTTTATTATAGCAGTAAGATAGACCACAAAAGCTCTCTGTACTACTTAACGCCAGTAAATTATTTGCTTTGGTCAGCTGAAAAACTACACTATTAAGAGTGAATTATAATCACACCCCTGTAATATCTGCCTACTAATGAATACTCCTAATTCTGCAATATAATCTATAATCAACACTAGGAATCTTTTCAGAGTAACAACCAAAATGTAAGTAGAATTTGCTGTGTGAAGCCATTTTCCTTTAAAACAGGGTTCCACAAGCCAAGTTCATACACAAGGTCAGAAGGATCATGAACTCCCCAACTGGATAATAAATTTTGTGTATATGTGCATTTTTCTGGAGCTGAAGGTCCATAGATTTTTTTCAGATACTTCAAAGGAGTACATGATACCCCTCCCCCACAAAAGTCCCCCGTCTCTCTGGATTTATACTTAAAATGAATGCATATTTTACAAAGCCATTAAATATTTTAGTTATAAACATCATGTTACAGACTTAGCAATTGCCAATGAAGTATTTATCAACTAAAAAGTCTAACGAAAACCAAGATTATTTTTGATGAGTCTGTGTTGGAATGGGAACATAAAATAGCTATTCTTATTTTCACCTTTGATTTTACCTTCTGGGAAAAACATTTATCCAGTGCCCAGTTACCCCAAACACAGAGAGAGATTAAACCACCCTCTGTTTCCTCAATTGTGTATTAAGAGAGTGAGTTAATAAAATGTTGAACATAATCATTTAACTATTCAAGATACTGCAAAAAATCAAATAGTATATTTTTTAGGTAACTCAATTTTTGTTCCCAATTTGTTGGTTTCTAGAACACAATGCTATCATTAAGTATATTCCTGAATCTATATTTTCCCCTCCTATACAACATCTTATTTACAAGCAGTATTTTACTTCTGTATTCAGCCTGCTTTCCTAATCAAAAATAGAGTCCTGACTTGAAATAGGTACAAATACAGATACATAATAAAGATGTATAGCTATAACTAATAAATTCCACTAAAAGCTTTAAGCAGAATATATTAAAAACTATCATCTCTGCTGGAACTATTTCTAAAACTTTTTTTATGTTACACTTAATATTCATACTTTCTTATCTTGATGCATTGCAGGAGTGCTTGTCCCTACACGTACAACTCCAGACTTCCATGGATTTTTGATGTTAGTGATTTTGTGTTGTCTTTCCTCCCTGTTTGGTTGTTAGTTTTATGTATTATGCTTTCTAAGGTACTCTTGACCCACCTCATCATCCTACTCCATAGCTCCTAACCTGTTAAAGCAGAGAAAGAACTTGAGGTTACAGGGGAAAAAAGATACTTAGGTGGCAACATTAACAACCTAAAGCAGCAGGATCTGACTTGAGGATAGTGGCAGTTCCAGAAAAAAGGAAAGGGCTTTCTGAAGGCTAATGTTCTCCATTTTCAGAGATCTTTTTTCATTTACTTTTGGGTTTTGGGCCAGACTGAGATGGTCAAGGATAACAAAAGTAGTTAACTGCAAGTATGAATAGGGATTGAGTCTGAACTTAGTTGAACAATGCTATACATTTACTGAAAAAACAGCTGACATAAAACTAAATATAAGCACGAAGATAAAGTTTAATGGGAATAAAACTGAGAAAGCAAGATAAACTAGACTGGTGTCTAAAGTTTGATGTTTTCGAAAAATATGACAAAAGAATAAAACGATGCTTTCATGATTTACCTGCAAATCCTGAGCACAATACAGCAATAGCTATAGCACCAAACCCTAATAATGGATTTTGTTCCACCTGCAATATTAATTTTTAAAGTTATTTTTAGTGACTAATAAACAGGAGTTCATCCAAGAGTCCAAACAAATAAATACAAAAACCTGTGTTACAGTCTTACTAAAAGTATATTCCACATCAGACACAGCTATTCTACAGAATAAGACAATGAAACAAACAAAAAGACCATTCCAGAAATTAACCAGGGTACTTGGCTTAAGTGAAAAATGTGTTCCTCAAATCACAGCCATAGTATATGCTTAATATATTGTGTGCCCACTGTTTCCTAATATCAGTAAGCACTCTAGCATGAACTTTTGAACAGGCCAAGTCAGCATGCTACTTAATTTTAATTTCTACTATCACTCTAACTTAAAAGCTTATAGCATCAATCCTGAAAATGATAACAATTTAACTTATTTATTCCTCATCACCTACAGGATAAAGTGCTGCCTCTTAAGACTCTGCAATTTATTGAATTTTTAGTATACCTTCTGTGTACCAGATACATTGTCTATACACATAGCTATGGTTTGAATGTCCACTTCAAAATGCGTGTTGAGATTTAATTGCCATTGTAACAGTATTAGGAGGTGGGCATTTAAGAGATAATTAGGTCATCAAGGCTCTCCCCAAGAAGGGATTGATGCCATTACTGAGGGAATGAGTTAGTTATCAAGGGAGCAGGTTTCTGATAAAAAGGATGAGTTCAGCCCACTTCCCTCTGTCACATGGGATCGCTTCTGCCTTCTGCCATAGAATGACCCTCGCCAGATGCCAGCACTGTGTTCTGGACTTCCCAGCCTCCAGAACCATGGGCCAAATAAACTTCTGTTCTTCATTAATTACCCACTCTGTGTATTCTGTTATAGCAGCAGAAAATGGACTAAGATACATACTACATGAATAAAGAAGATTATAATACACAGCTCTGGTTCTTAATTTCTTACATAGGCAAAATTGACAAGTATATATAACCAAAATAGTGTGAGACTAGTGCTAACAGATCCAAGTATATGAGTCCTAACTCTCTGTTTCACTTTATTTTCTGTTTGTTCTAAACTGTCAGGAGTTTTCATCAGTCTTCCCTGAAAGATAAATACTATCTCAATAGTATCACTGAAATTAGCGGGTTGAGATTCATGACTGTAATATGACAAGTATATACCTTGTTCAAAATAAATAAGCCTGATACAAGAAAAGTACCACTTTATGGTACCTGAGAGAGCAAGCTTGGTCTAAAATGTTTGCATGAAGATAAAAGGAGAAACAGAAGATACTGTAGACCAGTGGTTCTCAAAGTATGGACCCTGGATCAGCAGCAGTGGTACCACCTGGGGGTTTGTTAGAAATAAAAACTGTCAGGCTCTTCCCCAGACCTACTGAACCATAAACTATGGGAATGGGCCCAGCAATCTGTTTTAACCAACCTTCCAGTTGATTCTGATGTACACGAAAGTTTGAGAACCACTGCTATAGACTACACATTATTAAAAAGGATACCTTCCTAATACAAATTTCAGGACTGACATAGATAGAATAAAATCTTACTGTGAGATATCACCTATCCCACCAATTCTTGACTGACTTTCCTGCCAGTTTAATCTCTCTAAAGTTAGGAAAAATAGTGATGGAAACGGCTTATCTGGACTTGATTCTGACAAGAAACTACTGGGTGATGAAGTAGATGTGATGGAAACTTTGGAAGAAAGCAACCATGTGATCTGAGCATGAGCCAAACACAGCACAGTTAAGAGACATGTGCTCCAGTCCTGAATAAATCAAAATTCAAAAATGTAAAACTTTAAGTTAGAATTCCATGGCTCGTGAGAAGATGATTCAAGAGAGATTAAGAGTTACTGAAGAAGGAGGTTCTGATGAAGATTTTAAAAAAGAATACATAAGGAAATCAACATGTTTAAATAAGGGCATCTTCACTGAATTCTGATTTTACAAGAACAAAACTGAGGTACAGATCACCAAGAGGACTCTAACCAGGAATTTAAGAATAGTATCAAGAAATCGAAAACTCAGTAAGTTGAGGCTTGCAAAAACACTGTAAGGCATTAAAGAAAGCTTTTTTTGAGACAGGATCTTGTGGTACAATCATGGCTCACTGCAGCCTCAACCTCCTCAGCTCAAGTGATCCTCCCACCTTAGCTTCCTAAGTAGCTAGGACTACAGGCATGCATCACCACATCTAGCTAAGTTTTAAATTTTTTTGTGGAGACATGGTCTTACTATGTTACCCAGGCTGATCTTGAACTCCTGGGCTCAAGCAATTCTCCCCACCTACACTACCTAGCTAAATAAATTTAAAAGACTATCAACAAAAGTAGGTGAGTTAGTATATATAAAGCATTTAGATAATGCTAGTATTTAGTGCCATATAAATGATTACGGCTATTATTGTTACACTGATTACCAGCAAAATGTTAGAACAGATTTAGAGATGACTTGTACTTAAAAAGTTTAATGGTCATCAGTGGAAAGTAGTGTGACTTCACTAAGTGTGAAACATACCAGATTTCCTTACTGAAATGACTCCTAATGTTAAGTGATGAGGGGAATTCCATAGGGATAATGTTTGGCAAGAAATCTGACAGATTGCATATTATTATTATTTTTTTTTATTTTTTTGAGACAGAGTCTCGCACTGTCACTCAAACTGGTGTGCAGTGGTGCAATCTTGGCTCAGTGCAACCTCTGCCTCCCAGGTTCAAGCAATTCTCCTGCCTTAGCCTCCTGAGTAGCTAGGATTACAGGCGCCCACCACCATGCCCAGCTAGTTTTTTGTAGTTTCAGTAGAGACGGGGTTTCACCATGTTGGCCAGGCTGGTCTCGAACTCCTGACTTCATGATCTGTGCGCCTCAGCCTCCCAAAGTGCTGAGATTACAGGCGTGAGCCTCTGTGCCCAGCCGCGTATTTTTATAGACAACACAGAAATGTAATAAGGATAAAGATACAATCCATAAGCGCATGAATGCTCATACAGAAAAATGCTAGTTAATTGAACAAAATCAAGCTAGACCATCAACCAATACCAACTTGCTAGGCATATAGATAAGCCACGTTAGAAACAGATCCTCCAGCCGTAGTCAAGCCTTCAGCTGACTGCAGCCCTAGCCAATATCTTTACTGCAACCTGAAGCCAGAACTAGCAAGCTAAGGCACCCTCAAATTCCTGACCCATAAAAACTATGAGAGATGATAAATGTTCAGTAAGCAAGAAAAAGATCAAGCTAGAGACAATTCTAAAGGTACAGCCACAGAGCTCTGGTCCTGTTCTATCTGAAGTTTTCATTAAAGACCTAGAAGGCATATCTTTTTTGACTCTGGAAAGCATAATACCCAAAGGAGAAGCTAATAATGGATAAGAACTGGAAAGAACCCAAGGGGCTGAGCAATGACCCAAGGCTAACAAGATAAGCTTAATAAATAACACAACCTGCATTCTGGTTTAGAATGAGCCAGAGTTTGAGTTCTAGTGTCAACGAGAGTCTATTCCAGTCCTGACACTTGGAACCCACTTAACCAGTATTAGAGGAGTGTATGGCAGTGCAGACAGATTGAGGAAACAGTGGGGTGAGATGGATACAAGATACATTTGAGACAAACTATTTGGGTGACACATTTACATATAGTGGTTTATGACCAATTGTAAAATAGATACTTTCCCTGCCCCCTAGAAATTAACAGTCATGTACCATATAATGACATTTCAGTCCATGATGAACCACATATAAAACTGGTCCTGTAAGATAAAACCGTATTTGTACCTTTTCTATGTTTAGGTACACTTACCACTGTGTTACAACTGGCTACAGTATTCAGCACAGTAACATGCTGCAGAAGTGTGTAGCCTAGGAACAACAGGCTATACTATACAGCCTAGATGTGTAGTAAGTAGTCTATACCATCTAGATTCGTGTAAGTATACTCCATGATGTTTGCATAACAATGAAATCACCTACTGATGCATGTCTCAGAACGCTGAACTTATATTCTTTGTTAAGTGACGCATGACTGTATAACAAGTCTCCAGTATTCAGAACAAAGGGGTAATTACCAAGTTGTGCCTCATACTACTTAGACAACATTGGGAGACAGAGAAGTTTTAGGATATATTGAGGAATAATGATACATGAATGCATCTAGGAGGGAAATATAAGGAAAAGCGTAGGGGCAGAAGGCAGGGATCAGGAAGTCTCTGTCTAGAAACCATATTATAGAAAGAAACAGTAGGGTTTTAATTGGGGAAGGAGGAGACCTGGAGGGTGGGGATATGATACTGTTCACAAGCACTGTACATCCCAGCCGCCTTCCATTCCTAAGAGAACCATAGTCCGTTTGCTAAAAGTTAAACACAGTAAATATTCAACTGTAGGAAATGCCTGACCTTTACAAAACTATTCACTGGCATCCCATTTCCTGTTTCTCTTTGGGGAAATAACTGATTGAGGCATACAATATAAGAAAAAAAATCATGTATGTATCTTAACATCAACTGTTTAAAAATCAGTTATGTACCTTCACATTAACTCTTAAAAACTAGAGATAATTATCAACTATCAGTAAGAACACTCCTCCCCTTGTCATCCCTATCACTGACAGTAGGGAGATGTGCCAGAGACTGAGAGTTGAGGGAGAAGATGAAAACTAGATGCAGAAAAACCTTGCCCAGTGTTTCTGAGATGTTTGAAAGAGGTCTAGAAGTTCTAAACGTATACAGTATGGAAACTGGCACAGTTGTGGTCACAAGTTAGCTATTAACTAATTTAGGACAAGTTCCTTCACCTCTTTGGACTGTCATCCATAAAATGGAGGGGGTGGAATACATTATTTCTAAGGTAGCTTCCATGTCTAACATTTTTTATGCATATTCTCCTCTGAGAAACAACCAATAAGTATTATTATCCCTAATAATATGCTAAAGAAAAAAGGCCTATCTATAAGGCAAAAGTTACTTTAAATCAAAGAAATGTAGTCATGCTGCATGCATCAATGTAACTGAACAGTGTAAGACTTAAGGAAGTTTTCTATTTATGGGAAGTTATGGTGTGCATTTTGTTTCTTACCACAACTTTTGTAGCTTGGGCTGGTTTCCACTGTACAAGCGTGACTCCAGCACACAGCATAAAAACTGAAACCCACTGTAATTTGCTGAGTGTCCGGTTTAACATTAAAACAGTGCATAAAGCAGTACACGGAATCTTTAACTGGTAGGTCACCTAAAAAAAAAGAATGAATTAATAAATTCAGTTAATGTTAGTCTCTGATACAAATACCTTATTTCTGATATCATTGATACAATTATCAATAAAAAATATTTAATAATGGCTGGGCATGGTGGCTCACACCTGTCATCCCAGCACTTTTGGAGGCCGAGGTGGGTGGTGGATCACGAGGTCAGGAGGTCGAGACCATCCTGGCCAACATAGTAAAACCTCATCTCTACTAAAAACACAAAAAATTAACTGGGTGTGGTGGCACATGTCTGTAATCCCAGCTACTCAGGAGGCTGAGGCAGGAGAATCACTTGAACCTGGGCAGCAGAGATTGCAGTGAGCTGAGATCATGTCACTGCACTCCAGCCTGGGCAACAGAGCGAGACTCCATCTCAAAAAAAAAAAAAATTGATAATATGATAGTTAATAAAAACTCTTTTTACCATCAAAGATTCTGTGCTTTTCATTATCATGAACTCCACTTACCTGGTACACTGCTGCATCCAGATTGCTAAGAGCTAGGAAAGCCATGTTGTTCTGAACAGCATACACTAACGATGGCACACTTAACTTCAACAGTTCCTTGGGGCTCCCCAAGACATTTTCTCTTAAAGATGCTTTGAATCTACCCAGACTACCAGTTTCTCTTTGAAAACAAAAGGGGGAGATAAGAGGATGGTGAGGAAGAAAATTAAAGAGCATTCTTTTAATAAGACTTCTTCAAACACAGGACAGGCATACTATGTTTGCTGTAATTTAGCAAACTAATAATTTCTAACTAGTTTTAGATTAAAAGAAACATACCAATAATGTATCCTCTTTTAAAAATTATAGTTCTGTTTGGGAAAATATGACAACAACTAGATTTACCACTATCAATCTCTGGTCAAAGCTCTGAGAGATTTTGAGTATATTAAATAATGAGATTAGGAAAACAAAATTGCTGATATTACCTATAAAAAAATTCATCCCCTGCTACTTTAACTGTATTTCATCAAGTTCACCCTGATTGCTTCTTAACTGATCAGTCTGCATATCCATTTTTATTTTTACTTATTTATTTTTGAGACAGAGTCTCACTCTGTTGCCCAGGCTGGAGTGCAGTGGCGCTATCTCAGCTCACTGCAACCCCCGTTCCCGGGTTCAAGTGATTCTCCTGCCTCAGCCTCCTGAGTACCTGGGATTACAGGCATCCACCACCATGCCAAGCTCAATTTTTTGTATTTTTAGTAGGGACAGGGTTTCAAACTCCAAACCTCAAGTGATCTGCCCACTTCGGCCTCCCAAAGTGCTGGGATTACAGGCGTGAGCCACTGCACCTGGCCTATTTTTAAAGTTTTGTTGTTTTTTTTTAAATTACAATAGATTTAATTGCAAATAAAGAGGCTTTGGTAGTTCGTTAAGTGGGATAGAGTGGGTTTAGGTCAGTATTATTTATAAATTAATTTAGTACTTATGAAATATAGTACATAATCCTTATGTAAGAATATTCTCATCATACTTAATGTCTGTATAATTCTGTAGCAGATCTGAAAAATTTACTACAACAAACGTAAACTGTATCTCTAATGTACATAAAGTTTACTATTTGACTGCATATTGATTATGCATGCTCTTAACTATTATTTTTGCTATTACTATTTCAGGAGGACATGGCTAATCTGGCCTATATTTCCTGTATTATAAATCAGCTCATTGATTTCTTGAAAATAAAAATAAAACAATGTTTTATAATAAGCATCAATACCCCAAAAAAGTGCTTTATAATAATGGTCCTAACTGCAGCTCACGATATCCTTAAGAAAACCATAATACTTTGCTGGGAAAGAGCTCTATTCCAACTCAAAGTTTGATAATCACAAGGAGATTCTGTATTTTTGGTTAGAATATTAGAATCAACAGTTGTGAGTTGAATTTTTTCATTTTTAAATGCTGCAAATATAATTACCTAAGTTCTGAGAGAAAGCAAAAGTTCATTATATTAAATTGACTAACCTGTGCCTATTTATTTGCTGTAGAACATTTAACTCCAAGAAAATGCTTAATTAATAAGACAGGAACTTTGACCTAAGCCACAGAAACAAAAGACATCCTTCTTAGTTACAGATCTTTTTGTGTTACCAAATCCAACACCCACACCACAGTGTTAAATCTATATGCTGAAAAGCAATGCACACAGCCTGGTGGTGGACTACAAACTCTATTCGAAAAGCAAAAGAATACCAAAAATACCACAGATTGTCCACCAAAAAATCTATGTAGGAGAGTTTTCCAGGAGTCTGAAGATTGGCTCTTTAATGTTTGGCTTTTTTTTAAACTGCTTAATGCAATTCTAAGATGCCCCATATACTTTCTTTACATCTTTGTTGTTTTGCTTTGTTTTTTTTTGAAACACAGTCTGTCTCTGTCACCCAGCCTGGAGTGCAATGGTGTGATCTCGGCTCACTGCAACCTCCATCTCCCAAGTTCATGGATTCTCCTGCCTCAGCCTCCCGAGTAGCTGGGACTACATGCACAGGCCACTATGCCTGGCTAATTTTTGTATTTTTGGTAGAGACAGAGTTTCGCCATGTTGGCCAGGCTGGTCTCAAACTCCTGACCTTAAGTGATCCTCCCACCTCGGCCTCCCAAAGTGCTGGAATTACAGGCATGAGCCACCGCACCTGGCCAACATCTTAAATAAGAGTATAAAGAATAATTTTCAACAGGTTTTCTCAATTATAAAACTGATGAAAAATTAGAGATTAAAATGTAAAATAACCACCTTAATAAGGTGATGTGTCAGAGAAGATAACTGAACATTATAATTATCTCTAGTATCATGATAGCATAGATACAAATTTTACAGACCGTGTGAAGTGCAAGTTTTAGTGCCCTTCTAAAATGCTGACTCATACGCTGATGATGTGTCTTTAAGGTGATACTCAAAAAAGAACTGCTGAGAGGTGGCTGCTTGTGCCCACACTTCACACTCCACCTCCTCCCACACTCATGTATCTCCTGGTGTAAGATTCTTCACGCTAAACCTTCAAAAGCTACAATATAATGGCTATTTATCCTTTCCCTAATCCCCAGCTATGGGCAATGCCACTTTACCTCCACCTGTTAAAGATATTATAGCCTTGGTGGGTGTGGTGGCTCACACTTGTATCCCAGCTATTCAGGAGGCTGAGGCAAGAGGATCACTTGAGGCCAGGAGTTGGAGACCAGCCCAAGTAACAGAGGAAAACCCCTTCTCATAAATAAATAAATAAATAAATAAATAAATAAATAAATAAATAAATAAAATTGCCAGGAGTGGTGGCCTATCATCCCAGCTACGCTGGAGGCTGAGGTGGGAGCATCACTTGAACCCAGGAGTTTGAAGCTACAGTGAACTATGATGCCACCACTGCATTCCAGCCTGGGTGAAAGAGTAAGATACCATCTCTTTAAAAAAAAAAAAAAAAGAAGAAGACATTAGAAGCCTTCACCGGTAACAAATAGTGTTTAGCTCTCCAAAGAACAGGGTTGGTCTCTTTGTCCTGTCAGAATATGGGCTACTTAAGGATCCAACTGCTATTCCAAATAATCACCATACCTGCACCAATACAGGCTGCTGTGGTCCTTTTTCTCCCCCTCACTTTTCTTTCTTATCTCTTCTCCTTTTTCGGCTTTCCCATAAAAAGAAGGGCTTAGGAAACAAGTTAGCAGCCAATCTGAGTAATCCTTTCCTTCAGTGGAGCAAAAAGTAAAGTACAGTGTGTCAGGATTAACCTTCACATCTGTCTCTTTTGGCCATATCCTTTTTGTTGGATGCTTAGGAGCTATTTTTTCACTGCCAGGATGGCCAAGGTATATTTTTCTGGTTCCTTCTCTAATGTAGACATTAAAGAAACCAAGGTATACCAGAATGTTAAGCGCTGGAAAGTACAATTGTCACTGTAGTACCAAAAGATTATAGCAATGTTACATAAGATATTTTGAAATAAGTTACAAAAAAAAAAAAAAAAGCAGAGGATGCTAAACGAACGAGTAAAAGAATAACAGAAAAGTATCAGAAAGTAGACAAAGGAGATTTAGGAGGTATTGGAAAGAATATGTGGGAATCTTACCACACAGAAAGTTTTAAAGAAGAGGGTAAATAATTTCAGTATTAATCAGGTTAAATCCTGCTTAAGTTAATGTATTTATTAAGAATACAGCTCTTAATCTTATATTTAGCTTTACACTGAAGTTATATAAAAGTAACAAGAGCATTGTATCTGCTAGGAAACACTAGTAATCATCTGTCTTTTTGTTTTACTATGAGACAGAAACAAATGACCACTCATAAATATACTGTAATATACTGTAAAAAGGTTACTTTTTCTTCTATTTTCCTGAACTTATATTTTCTGTTTTGGGGATTTTTTGTTTTTTGTTTTTTTGAGATGGAGTCTCGCTGTGTCACCCAGGCTAGAGTGCAGTGGTATGATCTTGGCTCACTGCAACCTCCACCTCCTGGGTTCAAGCAATTCTCCAGCCTCAGCCTCCCGAGTAACTGGGAGTCCAGGTGCACACCACCATGCCGGGCTAATTTTTTGTATTTTTAGTAGAGATGGGGTTTTTCATCATGTTGGCCAGGCTGGTCTTGAACTCCTGACCAAGTGATCCACCCACCTCGGCCTCCCGAAGTGCTGGATTATAGGCGTGAGCCACCGCACCTGGCCCTGAACTTATTTTCTTAGAAATCAAATCACAAGCACCTTAATGAGCACCTCTGTTAAAAACAAATTTATTAATTATATAAATGACATTGCTAGCTAGGAGAAAGAGCATATATAATCAAAAGCATATATTAAATTTCTTTTTAGATATAGTCTTCCTTGTTAAGTTTTCTATTTGAACAATTCTTTTTATTTTTATCATTGTAATAGACTCTGTGCAACCTTTGGTTACCTGAAGAAATTCTGAAGCTCCATGTTGACTGCAGAGATTCTGCTGCTGCCTCTCCCCCTAAATTTCCTATCAACCGGCTGAAACCAATTATTTCTGACCTATGTTTGGTCAAAAATAGGCCTCATTCTTCCAGCTACTGATCTAACAAGAACTACTAGGAAGCATAAAATCCTTGGCTAGGTTACGGACGCACTGTGCAAAATGGAACACAGCAGAAGTTACTCATGAGCTTAAGAAAGTTAAACTTTGTTTATAAATTTCTTATCTACAAAGTATAATTAACTCACTTAAAAGACTTTGAGGGGCTACATTAAAAAACCAACAATGAAGTCAGCTTGAGGACAAAAATACACTTCATATGAGGGACATGATTTTTACTTCCTCCCCAACACCCTGAACCCATTATAGCATGGGTCCAAAAGGGTACTGAAAATGTAAACCAGAAGGAGAAATAAACAGAGCTGGATAATCTGTAACATATGTATTTGACAGATACATTAATTTCTCTAGACAATACTATGAAACAGTAAAAGAATTTTCTCTGGTCTTAATATGGATATGTAGTTCAAAGTTAAGATATACTTGGTTTGTTACTAAACACACCCGAAGTATATGTACATTAACATTTACATATCCTGCTAGGGATAGTCTTTATAAACTATAGTGAACAGCAAACAATAAAAAGTTGTTTGAGCTGGCACAGTGGCTCACACCTATAATCCCAGCACGCTGGGAGGCCATGGCAGGCGGATTGCTTGAGTCCAGGAATTTAAGCCCAGCCTGGACAACATGGCGAAACGCCATCTCTACAAAATTAGCTGGGTGTGGTGGTGCGCACCTATAGTCCCAGCTACTGGGGAGGCTGAGGCAGAAGGATTGCTTGAGCCCAGGAAGCAATGGTTGCAGGAAGTCAAGATCATGCTACTGTACTCCAGCCTGGGTGACAGAGTGATACCCTGTCTCAAAAAAAAAAAAAATAGTTGACTTTGTTCCTTTGTTCTAAGGCAATATGAAAGTGTTTTCACTTCCTTTTCTTTATACTAACAATGACAGATTTAAATCTAAACTGTTGACAGCTGTGATAGGGTTTAGTAAAGCATTATAACTAACAATTTTCCCGTGAATTGCAGCAGTAATTAATTTTATGAAAAAGTATTTTTAAATGTTGTATTATCTTTCAACCAAATTATAGCTTAGAAATTGATAACTTAAAATTCAAATACTTGGCCGGGCACAGCGGCTCACGCTTGTAATCCCAGCACTTTGGGAGGTCGAGGCAGGCAGATCACGAGGTCAGGAGATCGAGACCATTCTGGCTAACACAGTGAAACTCAGTCTCTACTAAAAAATACAAAAAAATTAGCCGAGAGTGGTGGCGGGCGCCTGTAGTCCCAGCTCCTCAGGAGGCTGAGGCAGGAAAATGGCGTGAACCTGGGAGGCGGAGCTTGCAGTGAGCTGAGATCGTGCCACTGCACTCCAGCCTGGGCGAGAGAGCGAGACTCCGTCTCAAAAAAAAAAAAAAATTCAAATATTTTTAAAAATCACCTTATTTACATATACAGCTTTCACAATATCCAACTGCTAATCTGCCCCTCCCTCAAAACAGAATTTACTAATTTCTCTTTTAATTTAAAAGTTACCTGATATAATCATTCATATGCACAACAGTATATTTACAAAGATAATTACTACATCTTTGTGTTGAGGTAGAAGACTGGAAACAACCCAAATGCCCATCAATACAGACTGGTATATATGGTACCTACATATAATGGAACATCATGCAGCTTTTAAAAAGAATGAGATAGATTTCTATATACTGACATGAAACCACCTCTAAGGTAAAATATTTGTGTTAAAAAAAAAAAAAGGAAAGCGGGGTACAGTGTACATCACACACAGTGCCCAGCAATATCTTGCACGTAACATTTACTACTTTGACCATGTCAACCTTATCTATCAAAGTAGCCATCCATTAATTCCTTCCCACACTCCCTTTTTTTTTTCCAGTTCTAACTTCTTATTGAAATAAGTATAATTTCACACGCCAAAACTTCCAGGGTGTTGTAAGTATAATCAACAAGGATGGGGGACGGGGGAGGAATCTCAAGTTAAATACAAATAGAAACCAAAAATCACTGTCAACA